AAATCGCCATTTTATGAAATTCCATTTTTATTTTAAAATGGGGCCTTAGTTGGAGAATAACAGATAACATCTGAACTGCAATAGGGGATATTTCTACTGAAGATAATTAACACCAGTGGCGCGCAAAAAGGGGTTTATGATATTTAGAAACGAAAAATTCGTTTTTATTGGAAAAATTCAACAGTTTTATTGATCGTTACAGTTGAAGAGGTGTCATACCCTCAATTAGCATGATGTTGACAAATTCAGAGGCGTGCAGAAAAGGGGCTTATGATATTTAGAAATTAAAAAACCGTTTTTATTGAAATAAAAACAACAGATTTATTGACCGTTACAGTAAAAAAGTTGCCATACATTTAATTAGCATGATGTTGACGAATTCAGAGGCGTGCGAAGGATGATTTTGTAATCATTGACGTATTAAAGAGGATCCATCATTAAAGGCGATTCAAAAAGTTTGATATGGAAACATTTTTAATGATTTCATCAAGTGTTGTTCTCTGTTCGCCCAGTGAAAATTTTTTTGTATCATCATTTATGAATGAAAATTCAGGAACGTAACTCTGGTGTTTCTCGAACCGTACAATTTGATAATTTTGTCAAAAAAAAAATCAAAAAATCTTCGATTTTTGCCCCCCAAAAAAATTTTCAAGTATTTTTTCTTTATAAATTTTCTCGTCCTATTTCTGATGAAGCATTATTTTTAGATAATTATTTTCTTCATTTTTACTACACGTACCCGATCATGGCACGATCAAGAATCAAGATGTATGAAAACTTTTTTACTGTGACGATCAATGAATCTGTTGTTTTTATTTCAATAAAACGTTTTTTTATTTTCTAAATATCATAAGCCCCTTTTCTGCACGCCTCTAAATTAGTCAACGTCATGCTAATTGAGTGTATGACACCTCTTCAACTGTAACGATCAATAAAACTGTTGAATTTTTCCAATAAAAACGAATTTTTCGTTTCTAAATATCATAAACCCCTTTTTGCGCGCCACTGGTGTTAATTATCTTCAGTAGGAATATCCCTTATTGCAGTTCAGATGTTAGCTGTTATTGTTCAACTAAGAAAGGCCACATTTTAAAATAAAAATGGGATTTCATAAAATGGCGATTTTTCCATAGCAACGCAATTTATCAAAAAAAAAAATTCAAAGACGTCCCGAGGTATAGGACCAACCATTCACCCATCATCTAAAAAAGAATTCTAAGGTCCCTCACATTTCTCAAATTATTGGTCAAAAATTTGAAATTTTTCTGGCTCTTAATTCACACTCTGTACAAAGAGAACGAATAACAAAAATGAAAACCCGACGCCAATGACGCATAGCACAAGGATGACGCTTTCTACCTTTGGTTGAAAATCCAACATCGGCCAAGAAATGTACGAGTTATAGGTTATCAAAATTAGTCAATATTTTGGTTGTCCCACTTCATCTGGTAAGTAGTTTATATTACTAAAATCGGTATATCTCAAGAAACAGTGGATGAAGGGATAAGTACATGAGCTGGCAACAGTGCGGTAGTAGTGCGAGAGAGCTCTCTGTACAAGGGAACCAAACCAGTGCTTCCAAAACTATGGTGAGTCGAATGATCAATATTTTGAAAATTTTCATTAGCTCTAGAAATGTTTTTTATTGCCATTTATTGTGTCATAATGTGTGATCGAACACCCCATTTAATTTATTACCTCAATTTCGGAAACACCCTGTATTGTTATTTAGTCTGAGAGCTGAAAACTCAACATTGAACTCTTCCATAAAGGTCCTTGTCCGGCATAGAGTCCGCCCGATCTATATATTGGTACCGTGTGACGTCAGATCTCCCAACAACAATGATTCCACTGAGCTATCCCCGCCATTCGCCATTTCTTATCCGTGTTTGGAGTTTAGTATTGTTGGCGTATACTTTCAAATGATTTGTGAAAGAATCGCGGTGTCTATTGCTAATAATAATAATAATAATAATAATAATAACTCGTCTTTATTCATCCATAAAATATATATTATATAATATATGTAGATGAAATGGCGAAGTGTCACCCAAGGGTGTTTTTCAACTTAACCATGATGTGTTAATTGATTATAAATACATTATAATATATAATATTGAATTACATTAATACTAGCTAAAACTATGATAATCTATCTAGCTATGTTTATAATACTATAGGTTTATATCGATATTAATATAGGAGAATTAATGAATAGAATATAATATGTCAATAATAATCATTAATGAGCTAAGATACGTTAGTGAAACACTGCATTAACCATAGGAGTGCCAGAGGGGTCAATTGATTTCATTCAAGATCCAATTTGTGTAGATAATAATAAGGATTTCAGCTTTTTTTTTTGAAATTCAAAATACTATAGTCATAAAATTCATTGGGTAGTTGATTATATGATTTACAAGCATTGTACGTAAAGAAACGTTGAAAGATAGACGTCTTATGTTTATAGATTGTCAGCAATCGTGAATTCCTAGTGCAGTATTCGCTGGTATCACCTATTCTTACAAGTTTTTTTAGTAAATACGGAGGTTTTTCAATCTTCAATATTTTATGAGTGAGAGTGAGCAAATGTGATTTTCTATCATCCAATAATCTGAGCTTACCCGCTTCTAGAAATTTATGGCTAATGTGGTCATACTTTCGTATTCCATGGGAAAATCTAAAGCAGGAGTTCTGAATTTTCTGCAGGCGGTCACTATCGGTTTTCAAGAGAGCTGGTCCATATACACAATCACAATAAGCAATTTTTGAAAGAATAAAAGACTCACAAACTTGAAGTTTCAAACTAGAATTCATGGCATGTCGATTCGGGTAAAGCTGCTTTAAAATATTGTAAGAACCACGACAACGTTGATTGACATGTTTTGTAAATCTCAAATCTGTGTCTACCCATCATAAGTTTTTTACCTCGTTCCTAATGGGAATTGTGTTACCGCCCATGACGATATTTGAGGAGGTACTGGCAAGCTCACGTTTATGCTTTGGTCCAAAAAACAAAACACTTGACTTCTTTGCGTTCAACATAAGGTTATGCGCTGCAGAGATATTCACCAAGGATTCTAAATCTGAATTCACAACATTAGTACTATCAGGTTGTTCTACATCAAATGATAGATAGATACAGTTGTGTGTCGTCGATCTGCGTAATGGTGTATGTTACAATGCGAAACATATGAGTGGAAGTCCGAAATATAAATGGAAAATAACAGGGGTCCTAAGATGGACCCTTGCGGTACACCAGATTTCAGTGTTAGAGGTTCTGAAGTCTTCAGGTCATAAACGACTTTCTGACTCCTTCCTTTCAAGTAACGCTCCATCAGCCGAACAGAATCTTCATCAAAGCCCAAATACCCCAGTTTGGCGAGGAAAACGTCGTGATCTATAGTGTCAAATGCCTTGCTGTAGTCCAGTAAAACTAAGCACGTGACTTTTCCCTCATCCACTGCCCGGAAAATGTCATCGACTATCATTGTGAGTGCTGTTGTGGTACTGTAACCGTCTCTAAAACCGGATTGTATTGGTGGTATAATATTGTGGCTCATAAGGAATTCATTCATCTGTTTGTATAGATTTTTTTCAAGAACCTTTGATAGTACTGATAGAAGAGTGAGACTGAGATCATTGAAATTTTCGGGGTTTCGTATTTTTGCAAGAGGGATTACAAGAGACATTTTTCAAGCTATAGGAAGCGTAGAGTGTGTGATGCAGTAATTCAATAAATAAGTGATATGATCAATTAGCAAGTTAGAGATCAGGTTCAACATTTTCAAGGATATAGAGTCGAATCCTATTGCGTTACTTTTGATTGAGTGAAGACATATTAGTACCAATTCTTTGTCCACAGTATGGAATGTGAACTTGTCATTCACATGGTATCTGTCATGCTTGTATTTTTCTAGTAGTTCTGTCTGAAGATTAGTTTTTGTTACATTAGGTAATGTCGTAAAGTGTTGATTAATGACGTCAACATTAGCTAGGTTCTGTGGCAATACATCATTTCCATTTTTATTGACTGCATTCATTTGTCTCAGTGCCATCCACAATGTTTTGGGATTCCTTTGTCGTGATACGTAATCAAGATATGCTTTTTTCTCGCGTATTATGGACTGATTTGTGTAGTTTCGAAGCATCTTATAGTATTCCCATTGAGCTGGAGTTTTATATTTTTAAATTCTTAGTGCCTTGTCTCTTTCAGTCATCATTATCTTAATAACGTCCGTTAGCCAAGGAGCTGGGGGTTTTGTTGTACGTACCGTTCGTATTGTTGCTAAATGGTCGAATATTCTTAACAGTGAATTATTGAAAAAAGTTATCATTTCATCGATATTGTTGCATCTATAAATATAAGCCCAGTCAACATTGTGAAAATGTAGTAAGAAAGTATCCATTTCGAATTTTGAGAAGTCCCTAAATCTGACATATTTGATAGCACGTTTGTCCATATTTTTTTTGACATTACATAATTATCGTAGCTGAGTGATCGTTATCTGATACCCCATCGACATGAGCGACAGCGATATTCGTGAGATTATCTTTATCGGAAGTTATTATTAAGTCCAATAAAGTATTCGAATTAGCTCTTATACGCGTGGGTTCCGTGATTAACTGCGATAGTTCAAAAGATTCAAGAAAGTCAGTGAAGTGTTTTACCTTCGAAGAATTCTCCATTAAATTTATATTGAGATCGCCTAATATGACAATTTGTTCGTCATAAGGCAATACTGTGGCCAATGCATCTTCTAATTTACTAAAAAAATCCGGAACATTTGAAGTATGAGGTCTGTATATGCCACCGAAAACATATTTATTTCCCGCGAAACTAGTTGAAATCCAACATTGTTCGATGTTTGTGTTAGTTTTACTGTATATAATTTTATAACACAGGGATTTATTCAAATACATTCCTATTCCTCCTCCTCCTCTACCATTGAGATTAAAACAATCAATCAATCTAACCTAAACTGAGCCCACTCTTCCAGCAACTGCGCCTGATTCCCTACCTCGCCGCCGCCTACGTGCTCAGGAACTTCAACACGTGGTTCTCGGAGGTGTTCCACCAGTTCACCATCGAGACGCTGACGGGAAATGCGCGACCCGACGCCCCGGAGATGGGGATAGAGATCCACGGGGTGTCCTCGGCGTCCAAGCCCATGGCAGGGTGGCTGATGAAGGAGGCCATACAGGAGTCGAGGGAGGCGTGTGCCGGACACGGATATCTCAAAGGTATTGTCACAAATGAGGAGATATTTGAAGCCAAATTCCAAAATGCTTGTAAAATCATATCGGTTCGAAGTCTGTGTTCATTAATTCAAAAATTATTTAACCAAGAACTTTAGATTAGTAGTTTAACATAATCACAGGCATGTCATTGACTTTAATGAACCAGGAATATCCACCTGACTTCCTCACTGTCAAGGCGCAAGGAAGCCAGCACAGGTATCATTCAATCATCCAATCACCCAATCATTCACCCAATCATTCAATCACCCAATCATTCAATCATTCAATCAATCGATCAGTTGACTAGATCAATCATTTGATTCAATCATTTACCCCTGTGCCCGAACCGTCGGAGTTGGGGACAGAACAGGAGATGCCCTTCCTCAAGGCTCTCAGCAATATCAGCTTTCGATAAGGTACATATAGGGTAAGTTAAGGTTTCATTAATTGGTATTCATTTATCATTATGACTCTTAAAGTTCATTCTCTAATGGGTGTAGAACACAACTTAGGCAACCCCCGCCTACAGTTTGTGACAGTATTGTTGGGAAGTAATTCAATTCAATTCAGTATGCATTATTGTCACTTCTAACCTCCAAAAGTTCGAAAAAATTCCAACACCTACCTCCTCTTCTATCCCCTAGGTACGCACGATGTTCCAGAAACGTTATAGAAATTTGTTTCTGTGCGCTTCAAGAGATAAAAAGACGAAAGGTTTTTTTTGTTTTTGTCGAAGTGAACTTGACAGTTCAATGAGGATTTTGTTGCTTGGGAGTCCGTAGGACGAGTAATTTTTTCTGGCACTTTTGTCAGTTGAATTGCCAAAAGGCAGCAAAACTCGAATTATAAATATCAAGTTCACTTGGACCAAAAAAAAATCTTGAGTGAAATTCGGTAAAACAATTTAATGAATACGTTATTCGCATTATTGTTGAAGGTTATTTCAAAGTCTCCATTACAAAACGCGACAAGTATACAGATTAGATATTTTTCGTATAACACAAGTTTGAGAAAAAATAATAAACGCCATCAAAGATTTGTTCACAATTTTCGTTGTTATGCTTTCAAATGTTAGGTTCCATTTTGCCTGTAATCTATGATCTTGAAATAATGATATTGACACAGTAATAAATCTGAGCAGTAAATGGTGTTACAACAGAATAAAATGAATAGTTGAATACACTCCCCCACAATAAGTTCTGGACAAAGATAATTTAAGTTATTTCTAGTTGCCCATAACTGATTGTTTTACGATTTGGTAAAATGTTTAGCAGATTGTGGACATTTGTGTCGAAATATTTTCCTGAATTTCAATTTTCAAAAAAAACTGATGGCTTGACCATTGTACATGGTATAACAATAGATTCATTATTCCAGATTTTGTGGGATGTTCTCTCCTCGTTTCTACAAAATAAAATATCAGTATTATTTCAATATAAGTGTAGTAAGGACAAATCAGATGATTTGCCCCGAAATGTCACTGCGTTTGAAGAATTTTCCTATCAGAGAGCCTAAAAGAAAAATTCACTAGCTTGTCAGTGACAATTTGTATCGAAAAAGGTTTGGAGAAGAGAAATAAAGGTATATAATAAAAATATCAAATTTTCACTTAGGTTTGGACGTTTCGCGAACGAACCTGCTCCCGTTTTCAGCATAAAAAATGGATATTTGAATAGCAAATTCGTATTTGTCTTGACACTTCTCAGTTCTCAGTGACAATTGGTGACGTTGGCAATCAAATGAGTTACAGGAAGTTTTCATTAATTAATCTTGAATTTACCATTTTCTCTTCTGGTTGTTATCTCCTTTTCCAATGATTTCAATATTATTCCATTCTGCCATATGTTGTTCATCTTCAATAAGGATATGTTCAGCTAGTTTCGATTTTTTGATGTGTCTTCTTTTATATTGTACTTATGTTCTTTCGTCCTTACTGAAAGAGGTCTATTGGTTTCACCTGTATAAAACTTTCCACTAACACAAGGTATACTGTAAATACAATTTTTAGACGATTGTTCTTTTGCCGTTTTGTTATTCAAATCTTTGCTGCAATTCATATGTTCTGAGAAATTAAGTCTTTTGAATCAATTTTCTTTTATTTCTATTTTGATATTCGAGATTACTACTTTACTCAAAAAAAATACGTGCTTGGATATGAATGTGATGATATGATAGGTAAATACTTTGGAATGAGGATATAAGGAATATAAGGTAGGTATCATTATATAAGTTCGTTCATTTTCGGTCGGCAGCAAGCATCCACTCATCTTTTCATTAGGTCTCCATCCTTGGAAAAACAGAAATATTCAATATCTGTGCCATTCGTATATTTGTTGGAATTTTCATGACCAGAAACGACACAAGTGGGCATTTTGAAACCATTTCATTCAATTTTCGAACTTACATATTCGAATTGAAACATCAATCACGAAAACAAATTATAACGATTACAGTTATATCCCAGTTGACGTCATGCGCAGAACTAGACGAGTTTAATCTTTCTGTCGAGCACACCATCTTCACCTTCCACTATGATATGAAACTCATTTTTTCTACTACCGCTATGAAAAGTAGCGCATTTCTCATAGCTTACTTAGTTTCAAAACCATGTATTGCCCATACTGTGAGAAATATTTTTTCTCACTTTGCCAACACCACATACATTTCCATGGAGAATCAACAAAAATCGACCAAAACTTAATTGGCTGGTGTTCAGCTTTGAATAGTTGTCACAACTGTCAGAAGGAGTTTTTTAAATTCTTTAGGGTAGTTCTCATTAGTGCTTTTGATAGAAATCGCAGTTCCCATCAAATATTATTCCAACAATTCATAATAAATAATATGATGTATATACCGAGATGTGACGATTTTGATAAATACACCGCCAGAGTCAGAGATAATGGAAAAAGCTGCGAAAATTGGATTTGTTTCCGGAAATTTCAAGAAAAAAGTATGAATTGGCATATACGAAAAATTTATGGAATCTGAAAAAAATGCAGAAATAAAATCTTTTTCGGAAAGTGTACTTTTTTGAAATACTTTGAGGAACTAGGAAAGACGTCTATTCTTAGGTCACAATATTCAATGTGGCATAGTGCCACATTATAAAATGAATACCAATAAGTTACATTGCTTGGATTCTTTGGATAAGTGCAGTTGTAGAAAAAGTATAGTGTGCAACATGTGGGGAAAAGTACTTTTCTCACTTGTTGCACAATATACAATTTTTTCATTCCCAACGGATTTTTAACGCTAATCGACATAATTTCTTTTTATTCCAGCGGCTGGTCTAGGCGACATTAGAAACGAACACGACGCGAATCTAACTTACGAAGGCGAAAACCACGTCCTCATCCAGCAGACCAGCAACTGGCTGCTGAAAATGTGGCCTGCTGTGTTACAAAGGAAACCGATATCCAGCCCTCTGAAGTCCATCGACTTCCTCTCCAATGGCTTGGAGATACTTGAGAAGAGTCGATTCAGTGCTAAAAGCGTTGAAGAAGTCATACGTCTGGACTGTAAGCCTTTTTTTATTATAGTTAGAGAGACTGGAGCTATGCTAGAAAAGTAGAACGTTCATCCAAAATACTTATTATACAGGGTGTTATGAATTTGATGTATACTTTATGGAAAACTATGACCAAAAATGCCTCAAATTCTAGAGTAGATCACAACTGCCTCCTAACCAGATCAATCAAATCAATAATATTAATATTTTTTGTTACTTTCTACTCTTGTCAGCTTATACAGGGTGAGTCATGATTAACCAGCCATTGCCTAATGGCGGAAAGCGGAAGTCAAAGTGAGTTGATATATATGTGAAATAGTTATTTGTACACCAAGGTAGTAAAGAATATCATTATTGCCCAGGGACCAAGATTATATCCCGACGCTTCAGTCATGATATTCCTGTGAAACTGAAATGTGGATCTATGTCACTATGTCAGCACTTCTTCTCAATTCAAATTAAAATCTAGTCACCATGACAGCATATGACAAGTTGTTATTGATAAATACTAGGGGTGGGCGATAGTGATCTTTGATTATCGATGATCGATAATCACATTGTATGGTTTATCGATATTATCAAAATTGTCGATATTATCGAAGTTATCGATATTATCGATATCAAAGATAAATCGATAATCTTTTATAAATTTTCGATATTATCGATATTGTCGATATTTTTTGCATTAAGTAGGTTCCTGAAAAGGATCATTGGGTGTGTTACGGGTGGAAAGCAAAGGAATGTTTACACTGACGAAATAAATATATGACGCCAATTCCAAAAATGATGGTAATATTTTAATGTTCGAAAAATAATCAAAATTTTAGGATGTGAACATCTTCTCATGAAAAAAAATTCAACCTTTACGCCACGTCGTGAAATCATAATATAAAGCAAGTGTAATATTGGCAATATTGCCTCCAATATTAACCAATGAAAGCTAAGATCAACGCTCCCCTATGACTTCTAATGCTGTCTTCTTAGTTGGAATGGATTATGGAACTAGGCGATTAAAATTAACAATCAACGGATATTTCGAAAATTATCGAAAATCATCGAAAATTTTATCTAAAATTTTATGTAAAATTATCTATATTATCGATAAACCGATAGTTTTTTATTTGAATTATTATCGATATTATCGGCAATTATCGATATAGCGATAAATTTTCCCACCCCTATGAATACCTACTACATTCGAGTGCCGTTTCTGTGAATATCGTAACAGAACAGTGAATTCGGGTTAATTATATCAGAGGTGTCTGTGTCTTTATTGACTAGTGGTTCATAAAATGACGAAAACTACCTTGGTAGTAAAAACACACACAAAAGGAGTAATTAATGGTAGATTCTATAGGTAGTGGTGGAAAAAAATATATTTTGCCTATTTGTAACAGAAATACAGGGCATTATTTGTATTCGGGACGAAACTTCTCCATGTTATCGCATGAAATTCACCAGCAACTCACCTCTACTGACACTCCATGAGATGGCCTACTATGGAAACAAAATCCAGAGCCGGACTTGTGAAATTCATTTTCTTTATAAATGTCATAATTTCGACTTTCTGGATCGTATTTTTCAAAAACTCTCTTCAGAATCAGAAAGATCAGGAAAAATGCTACATGTGTAGCTTTTCATTTTGTCCGGCACACTTCGACCAAATCGTTAAAAATATATCAAACAAAATATCAATGAACGTTTCCATGATTTCGCACAGGCATATTGTAGTCACATTAATCAACAAATTCATTCATTTCCATTTCTTGCATGAAGAGGCCCTATTCGATAAATAATTCCAGGACCGGACTTGCTTTTCTGGAAGAGACCTTTCAAATATGAACATGAATAATTTCCAATTGAAATCTCCTTCTACATGTGAAAATGTGGAAACACTGTTCTCAATATCATACTGGCCAACTAATACTACATAGAGGAACTTTTGAAGAACTATTGAATATGACTCTCAATGACCGAATTACAATCAGCGAATTGAATTGTGAGTTTGCTGCTTTCACGATTCAGAAAGCACTAAAAAAGAAGGCTGTGATGGATGTAAGGAAATTGATTGAAAGAGGAATTTCCTCTCAACAGGATGGGACACCTCCACATTAATCAATACAAGTGAGAGAATACCTAGACACCCAATTCTCTAACCGCTGAATAGGTCGTGGCGGCCCGATCAAGAGATGGTGTCAGGTGCCTTTTTAATGTGTGCATGTGTGCACTTCCTAAGGAAAAGTGCTTTTATTTCTGTGCAGAATTTTCGTGTTTTTTCGGGATATCATCCTGCCTGCCGTTGTAATATACGGAAGTTCCAACAAACTAAAGCGCTAATAATTCATTGTTGCAATCCGCAGCGGCCGAAAGGGCTCAAAAGGGTTACGAACAACTAGTGGTAGTAGTAGTAGTAGTAGTTTATTCACAAAAACAGTAAACAATGTTACAAGCTTATTGTCATGATATATAGGACTGCTAAGTAAATAAACAGAAAAGCCATTTAGTCTTGGGAAGACTGTATATGGACAAGGTTTTTGTTTGTTTGCTTCACAGATTTGAATTTGAAAAAAAATATGACCATTACAAGAGAATATTGATAAACTAAGAAAATACAATGTGAGAATAATCTAAATGAGTTGAAGTTTTAGTAACGAAAATACTCTAAAAAAATTGGCATGTCCATCAGTGGAAAATTTCGGGTAGACTGTAAAAATTTAATACAGGTTTTCCGTGATTCCATAGCCATTAGAAAGATGCTTCATTTGTGTAATTAATTAATAGTTGGTAATTTGGTATGCACATCACACATCAGGATTTTGCAAAATAGAGACATGCATGACAAACGTTGCAAAAAACAGTTACATTAAAATCGAAATCTAAGAAACATTCATCAGTATTTCGTTTGAAATGTTTACCAAATCGCTCGAAGTGTGCTGTACAATTTGGAAAGCTGCACTTCTAGTGTTTTTCTTGATCTTTCTGATTCTGATGGGAGTTTTTGAAAAATACGATCCAGTAAGTCAAAACAATGACATTTATAAAGAGAAAGAAAATAAATTTTACAAGTCCGGCTCTAGAATTTGTTTTACATAGTAGGCGATCTTATGGAGTATCACTACAGGCGATATCATCGAGACGTTCCTGTGATATCGTTCATCGAAGTTTCGCCCTGTATTTCTGTTACGAAAAGGCAAAATATATTTTTTCACATAAATATAAACTCATGTTGTCCGCCATAAGTATTCTGTAATAGAGTAGTTATACTTCAAAAAACACCACATGAATGCCCTACAATTTCATGGAACATTCAAACATAGCGTTTGGCGTCAAACCGTTACCACCGATACAACAAGGCCAGCAGACTCTGACGTAAACAGCTCGTGACGTCACCAAGAGAGGCCAGTGTTTTATTTTATCGCTTGTCGACTAACGCGTCAGTTCGTGTTAATTCATCAGTGATTCACGTATGTTTTTGAAACGGCCCCGAATTCTTTTGTTGTTTATTCATCAAAATAATTGGCGGAAAAATTACTGTTTTGTGAAATATTTTGTGTTGTGATCGGCGAAATCACAATGCCTTTCAAGTGTTGTGTTCCCTTTTGTCGGGGGAATGATGTGGGTGGTTCAAAAGTTCATGCTTTTAGTTTCCCGTTGGACGAAGAGCTATCGAAAATGTGGGTATATGCAATTCACCGCGAGGATTTTACTCCATCTAAGTTCAGTAGTAAACAGAGCTTAATTTATAATGATGAATTAATAATAAAAGACAATTACTCTCTCATAAAAAGTATAACAGGAAAAATAGAAAAGCTTTGATTGTGCAGTTAGTTTTGTATTCGTATATTATAGTCAACAAAATCATCTCTGAATTCGAGGAAATCTTCTTGAATGTTCATAATAAACGGGCATTTTTAATTCTCATTCTCAAATTTCTTTCTGAAAACGGTCATTTGCCTCGTGGCAATGAATGCAGAATTCATTCCAATGATCAAATTGCAACTATCATATTAACATGAACTACAAACACTCTACTTAAAAAGGTAAAACTGCATTTATCATGATATTTATCATGAAGATATTTGACTAAAAAGTTCCAAATTTCACCTTCTTTTTCACCTGTCTTCTGGATGGCATTCAGAACAAATTTCCCTTCTTTTTTCATCATATTGGACAATTTATATATAATTCAACTATAAATATGATTTTCTTGAGATTAATCCATATTTAGTGAAAAGAAGGAAGAATATCATTCAAAATAATGGCGTGTGTAATGTCATTCGAAAGCAATCTATTGACATTTGACATCTCGTATTTTGATGGACTATTGATTAAATGGTCGTCATCTGGAATGCTTGTTCACTAAATATGGAAAACTCGCCATAAAAATCATATTTCCTGTTGAATTTTCTATATAAAAATGTGCCATCGAAGTACATCATGAGTATATAAAGTGTCCAATGACAAAATAAGAGCAAGTAGCTTCAAATGCCCCCAACACAAGGGGAGAAAGAAGGCGAAATTTCGAACTTTTACTTGAAATATCTCAATAAATAGTGGTTTGTTCACATTTTCATTATAAAATTCGGTTTATCAGACAAAAATACTTGAGTACCGAAAAAAATTTTCAAAAAAAACCCATCGCATGATAAATGCAGTTTTACCCTTAAAAATTACGGTTTCAAGTGTAACGATCCACTTGGGTGAAAAATCCAACAACAGAAAATTGAAAACACTCACTGGTTATTTTTTCAGGTAATAGGAATTCTCCAAGATAAATATAGGTAATTGTAACAAACGGCATGTCAATCAAAATAAAATACATTTTCCACAATTTTCTTTCGATCAATCTCACGATAAGTTTATGTTCTGCGGGCCCTGTATAAGTAGGTGTGAAGTTCACCTTCACCACAATTTTTGCCAATATATTTAATTCGAATGGGTTGCTGTAGGTGGATATTTGTGTTTTATCCTGGTTTTTGCTTTAAAACTTCGTTTTTCCATTATGGAATGGGGTGCGAAGAAGGGCTCAGTTGACGACTGGCATCCTTTTTTAACCGGAAGCCCTTCAAAAAACAGCAAAATCGGCTCAATGATGATCTAAAACTAAAATCGAAATACGCGGTCGCCTTATAGCGCTATAAGCGCTTGTCGTTTCGAGCCGCTGGTTAGGCCTCACTAAGTGACGTCACCCACGGAGCATGCAGGCCTTGTTGTATCGGTGGTAACGGTCAAACTCGTCTACCCAGAAGTGACATCATAATCCCCTTTCCTGTGTTGCCAGCTGATTCAATATTCATTGACGTAGTGAATGCCAATATAGGTTTTACATCCTTTGCCAATTCTACAAGTAGGTTGTAGCTTGTTGGTTCAATCAGCAGCGACCAAATTCGGTCTAATCCTCAACTACATGGTTATACCGAGATTTATACAATTCAATTGAATCAATTTGCTGTACAAGGTATCCCACAAACATGGGCCACCCCCTTATCTGGTAAACTAGAATAGATACAGAAAAAATTGAGTATCAAATTTGAAAAAAAAAAAATTTTTATAGATAGAGCTCAGGAAGTCGAGTTCAATGAAATGTGATAACGTGGGTCTGAGATCACCCTTTTAGGACTCATCCATGGTCTTCTTCAATAAATAGCCAAATCTCAAATCCCTATAGAGACATTAAGAATCATGTTTTTGATGCGTCGTCATAAATTAACAAATTCTTTATGTTTACTTGATATTTCGTCAATATTTAGAACAGCAATTTAACATCATATATCATTGAACTTATCTCGTCGATCTTCAACCAAAAATAAAATGAAATCAAGGGTGATCCTTTCCGAAATTACTAGAAAATTATCAGTTTTTGAAATACAGCATCACTATTGGCAAATCCAAGAGATCTAAATTTCGATCTGATACAGAATTTGTTGATTTATAATGAAAAAAGGCGCATGGAGCACTTGATCCACAACATTTTTAGAGGGTTTTGAAGTTTTACTAATTATGAAGAATATTGGAGAGTTGGAAACGGGTGCTCTCAGGCCCATGTTATCATATAACATATCATTCATCATAGTAATTCTGAGCTCTATCCGAGGATGGAATGAAAATTTGAAAATTTCGAGGAACTGATCGGTTTGCAAAATATTTTTGGCAAATTCAAAATTTCTAAATATCAAGATAACATAGAACTTGTTGATTTATGACCAACGTTTCTATAGGGCTTTGAAATTTGCCTATTTATTGAAGATCATGGATAAGTTCGAAACGGGTGATAGCTGACCCATGAAATGAAATTTAGGATATTTAATTTGAAAAAAACGTATGTTTGGTATGTCACGCATATGGATCATCCTGTATCATCCTGTTCATACGACTATAAACAACTTCAATTCTCAATCTTGTTGTATCTATTCTAGTTTACCAGATAAGGGATAAGGGGATGACCCATGTTATGTGGAATACCCTGTACTTGCCATTTTGATGAACCTCAAATTCTGGTGACATCACTATAATATCTGTCATAATATGTCACAATGCAGTTCTTAAAAAGAACAAGTCAGCTCAAAACCGCCTTGCTCAATTCATATACGGCATTGTTGATTTAGATTCAGATTCAGATTTATTCAGATACCATAAGTTACAGACAATTTTGTTATAATGTTGATATTATGATTCCACTTCAAAAACAAGTAATCTACCTAAGCAATCGAGATGCTTGTATCGTAGCATTACGTTATTTTTGAGTGGTCTATGGATGAATTTGATATAAGCGAACAGATCGTGAAATTGGTCAATTCATCAAAATTCAAGAATAAAAATAAAAAGATAAAAACGATGAAAAAGATGAAAAAACGACAACTTTAGGAATCTATAGCGAATGCGAGAGATGAAGGAATTATGGATATGCTGGGATTTATTGCGAGAAAGACAAGCTAGAGATTTCAGCAATTTTTTAAATTTCTATTTTTTTTGTACATTAATTTTTTTCCATGATGCATTTATTATTAAAAAAATTTCAATATATTTTCATTCTTATACTGAAATATGAATTGTTTGATTAAAACTTTATATTTTGACAAACGGTTAGTGATTTTGATATGATTTGGTAACAGATTATGTAATTTTGGTCCATAAAAAAAAATAAATCTTTGTGTATGCGTTTTCCTAAATATTGGTAAGACAATTGACTTATTTCCGACAAATCTGGTGTGTTTCAATTTGGGAGTGTCATATGTCTTTATTGTGAAACATCCAAATTAAACATTGGTAGACATAAGGGCTTCTTAATAATAATAATAATAATAATAATCTAATATTTGGATTTCCTTATAGAGCTGTTCAGTAGAAAATAGTTCATTTTTTTATGTATTATTTTCAGTAATGTATTCTGCATTGATTGTAATTTCATCATCATATTACTGAATAATCCTCCCCACGCTGTAATGCAGTATCTAATAACTGATTCGGCTAATGAATCATTTAGTATCATCAAGTTTTTTTTACTCAAGATCTCTCTGAAGCTGTAGAATTTGTGAATCAATTGCCTTAATCTTTTGATAACATGGGAGACATGATCATCCCATCTTAAATGCTGATCGAGTATTATACCAAGGTATTTGATACTTGAAGTTTTCTCTATATAAGGGCAATTACATGGGTGTGTGTTATCACAACCATGTATTGTTAATGAGTTGTAAGGAGGTTGCTCGGTTTTATAGATCGAAAATGATATGAATTTAGTTTTTTTAACATTAAGGCTCAATAGATTGTGGTTAAGCCAAGTTTGTAGTTTACCAAGATCCATTTCTGACTCAGCTTGTAGTTGTAGCCATGAGTTTCCCCTTGAGATTAGTAACTCTTAAGATCGATGAATGTTAAAGTACCTATCCAAACAAGCTAAAGAATCTGTTAAGTCGGCAACACTGTTTATCTCACTGAATAGTGAATTATCGAATTTGATCGACTACCAATAGACGGTCGGCGCGCTATAGTACTTGTGACATCAGTATCGCTGACGATTTTCCATCGTATTCTAACGGGCATTTCTTTGGGAGTTTAGTTTGGGGAATCTAGAAGGGATAAAAAATTCAAAAATAATTTTCTGTGCCTTTTCTCATCTTGTGCGTCAAGGAATTTTGTCTAGAAATTAGTTTTCTTGCCTATGAGCGATCTGCGATCGATATTATTCTGGCAGTGTTTTTTTCAAACTGCTCTCCAAATGTTGAATCAAAATTTTCGATCTTGGCGCACAGGTGCGTTAATTGTCGTTTTGAAAAAAAATCAGCAATAATCAGGACAAAATTTAGGTTTCCTCATTTATCCTTTTTCCATTGCGAGTTCGGTTAAGAAAGTTCAAACGGTTGACGAAAGCGAATTTGTAACACCCTGTATATGTGTCTACCGTTATTCACATTTGTTTCGTCATTTTTCCCACAATATTGCAAACTTCCAAATGTGTTTTTTTTTAAATTCTAGTTGTCGATGAGAAATAGAAACAATTGTAATTTTCTGATACATCCTTTAAATTTTAGTGAACCATTTTTAGACTGTGATTACTTTTTCAGCCGTAATCAAAACCTACCAGTGGGTGATTTGTCATCTGTTGAGAGCCACTCACAACAAAGTAGAAAGTCAAATAAAATCTGGCAAGGACGCTTTCACCGCCAAAAGTGACAGTCAAGTTTATTATGCGAAAAGTTTGGCTATTGCGTTCGTTCAAGTAAGTAGCAAAATTACCAAATACTGAAATTACAGTGCTCAACTAGATGAGAAAACAGGTTAATTAATATTTGTTAAAAGAGGTTTTTATTTCCCCTCCGTATTTAATAAACCATTCGTCTATGATTTTAAGATGGAAGAGAAAACAGATATGATCATCAAGTTCCATCAGAAATAAAGTTCAATTCAGATATGTGACTCATATATCTTTTCTAGTCTAGCTTTTAATTAATTTTTAGTTTACCTGTCATTTCATTTCTTTCATTTCTATGTAAAACACAAGACTAGAGAAAAAACAATAGGAAATTCCATTTTTTTTTTGGCAAACTTAGTGTATCTTTGAGGTCTCATCTCCATTTTTTTTACTTGGAATGGCAAAATTATCACTTTTGAAAACCCCCATAATAGATTTTTGGATGAATTGGACAATAAATGATGAAATCGTCTGCCATGTTGGACCGCCATCTTGAATTCCCAAGTTTTAATTCATAATCCTTGGCTCAAGCATTGTCCTTCCATATACGTATTAATAAACAATACGGATCATAACGGGTGCCAGGATGAAGCCAAAAATATGAAACAAATGAATATCCATAAGGATTTGGCGGCATGATACGCAAGCGCCATGCGCTATTATAGTAGTCATCAAAGACATGCGTTTCGGTGGACAATGACGTTTACTAGCCTTTCAATCAAAGCAGTATGTGTCTGATCGTTTCAAAACTTTTCCTTATGGATAGTCATTTGTCTTCAAAAATCGGCTTCATGTTTCGCTATGGAAACAGATAGAGATTATCCGTATTGATTATTAATACGTATATGTGTCCTTCTAAATGAAAACCTATTGTCTGTTAATTGTAAAAAATATGCGAAAATCGTCGATATTTTCAGTGAGCCAGTGACCACTATTTTGAACTAAGATATTCATTTGTTATAATAGCCCTAAAAAAATTTGTATTCCTGTCTAGATTCACTTTTTTGTCAAGTTTGTCAAAAAAAATGTCTCATGTTGAAACATACAATTTAATGAAAGCAGGATGCATAACAAAAAAACATTGTTTATGCAATGATAAACTAGCTTGATATGTTTGTACAACTTATTTGAATTTACATCACTCTTCGCACTTTATTGAAATGAGGGCATGCTAAGAATAGAATGATAGTAACTACCTATTTACCGTTATATTGTTGATAGCTTTGCCATATCTCTAAGAATCACGCCTACATAGATAGTTTGTCAACTGAGAAACAAAACATTATGAGTGCTCAGTGCTGAGTATAAACAAATCGACGTTTCACAAAAAAGTAATGCAGTAATGTGAAAACCGCAACACTCTAAAGTTAACTGAGAAATTGCGAAGAAGCATCGAAATCTGGACACACTGTACACTGGTGTAGTTGAATACCTGATTACTATTCACGTATGATCCTCAAATATTTGCTAGACCTGTATGTGAAAGCAGGAAGGTTAGCTTTAATCTGGTTCTTGGTCATGGATATTCTGCTTCTTACATGAAATAAATCAAATTATCATGAAGTTGGTGATCATTATTTTCTCATCAGGAATAACATTTTCCTCCGATTGGCAGCAAGTATTAATTTTGCTGACACATATCAATCAGCAAAGTATTACTTTTCCTGCCTAGGCAGCAAAGTGGGTACTTTCCTGATTGACATGTATCAGCAAAATTAAAAATCCATAAATCGTTTATAATTTCCTTCATATTTCATCCGAGACTTCTCCGGCAACAAATTCAACTCTTTATTTTTTGCCACCTCCCTTATTAATGGAGGTGTAAGTATACTTCCAGGTCGCTATCACTGTCCATTATATAATAATTTAAATATGCCGATATTTTTTCGCATAACAGTCAGAAATTTCATGGATTGTCAAACCAACAACTGCGATTTCTATCAAATTTTATTTTAATTGAACACTATACAGGAAGAATAAAGAGATTGTGGAAATTGTATTAATTCGCAAATACAATATTCTCCTATATCATTATGAACAATCGGAGAAAAAATTATATGTTCAACTCGGCAGCAAAGTAGATTGACTGCCTTAGCTGGATTCCTAGCCTCGCTACGCTCGACTATGAATTCAACCACGGCAGTCAATCTACTACTTTGCTGCCTAGTTAAACTATTTCTTAGAAATGAATGATATAAACGGTTTCTATCTGGTGTTCACTGTATAATCATAAGTAAAATCACGATGTTCCGAATATTCGAGATAATTCTGTTGCTTCATTGTTGAAGGACGAGTGGTATTGCTGTACGGTAACACAATTGAGTTAACAATGAGACAGAATTATGAGAAGATATTCAGAACTGAGTGGTATTTTGTTAGATTATTTCACGTTCACGAAGCATGAAAAGCATTTATAATAAATGAGTGATTCATTCTGACAAGTACAGCCATAATTATTTTATGCCAAACTGACAGACTTTCCTTCGCTATCCATGGTTACTTCTAGAATTTGATTTGCTATCCATGGTTACATCGTTGAAAACATGAACGCTGTCTGACCAATCAGAATTGAAAGACAGTTCATGTTTTCGCGATAAGCACACGTTGTCTCTGGCTTGTGATTGGTCAGATTATGTGATTAGTGAAATAGTCAGTATACTAGAGTTTGACCAGGGTTGATGATTTTTGAAACCGAAAAAAATAAAAGTATAATGAATAGGAAAAATAAATCACGGGCGATCTGAGGTCGGGAAGTGGAAGGGGTTGGGGTTTTTAAGAAGGTAAGGGTAAAAAACGGATTATCTCCATTTCCGGCAAAAATATCAAGTCCTATGAAAAAAAAAATCACCAAATTTCGTGAAAGATAAGAATATAAAACCAAAAACTTGGTTATTGAAAAGGAACATTCTCAGATATATTTATGAACACAAAAAATGGATATATATATATATATAAAGAAATACATTGAGAATTCGCATTCTCCATGTGATGTTTAATATTAATTCTTTCTCGGTTTATTCAACAGAAAACAACTACTTTCCTGACTATATGCCATTGAACGCACACGATAAAAATTTAAAAAAAAACCTTCTGAAGTAGAGAATTTGCATTCTCCTTCATATAAAGATATGCATATAGTATAATTCTGAATATTCAACCGAAAACAACTACTTTCCTGGCTATTTGCCAAGTCGAACATTGAATGGGCTTATATTACAAAAAAAAAATTCATAATTCGATAGAACTCACCCCAACTAGCTCACCACCGCAAACCGTTTCTTGCTGTGAGATACGTTTCATAAAAAATTATTGAAATCCACGATTTTTCGGACCTCCGAAAACGAGGTGATGATGTGACGTCAAAACCCTAATACTGAACAAGACTATTCCAGACAGAGATGAATGATACATGATTTCTGACAGAGTGAATTAGCGCGAGATCACAGTTGAAAGAATTAATATATCAGTTGCCTCAGTCTCCGTCGGGCGTTTGGTATTTTCTTTTAACTATGGCGAGATGAGGTTTCTACGTCATAAGAGGGTCCGTTTTCAGAAGGTACTATTATTTATATCAAAAATAAAACATTCCAGTTAATTTTTCGATCGAATTATGTCGTCGATCATGATTTATGTATAAAAGGATCATTATAAACATGGTTTGAGTTAGGAGTTTTACTAAGGTGTACACGCCCATTATATCTGTTGAATATCCAAAAAGAGAGCATGAAAAATCAAAATCCTCTGAAATTGAGAATTGACATCATCTCTCAAATCGAATAGAATAATATGATGTATTATGATATAAAAATATAACTTACCGATATGTTCAGTATTGAAATGAAAATTGAAATGTATAGGAGAAGTATACTTTTATGAACTCTGATCTTGATGAGCTTGGAGGAACTTCCAAAAAAATCATTCGTATCAGTGATATGGGAATTATATCTCTCACAAACAGGTTATATGAATTCATTTTGGATATCATATCATATCAATTCAGAATTTCTTTCCTTTCCTGTATGATGAATGTCAATTTATCATACATAAAAAAAAAACTTGGTTATTTGAACTTTTCACATGCATTTCGAGGTTATGTGAAAAAATTGTCAAGACGAAAGATATTGATCTTTTTATTACCTACAACTTCGCCATTCAACTTTTTCCAAAGGACTCCTAGTCTTGCCGAAAATCGAAATAATCCGTTTTTTACCCTCAGATCGCCCGTAATTTATTTTTCCTTTCATCTTTGTTGTATTATCTACTTTCTCCAATGGGTTTCATCCGACTATTTTTTTTTCACTTTTCACCGTTTTCAAAGGTTTCAGCATTGGTTTAAGTATTATAGTAATATTTCAAACATACATTTTTTCAGCACTTCATGTTGCAACGCATGATAGCCACTATATCCGAATCCACTGACGCTTCTTTGACAAATGTCCTCACCAAACTGTGTTCTTTGTTCGGATTGTGGGCTATCGAAAAGTACCATTTGGCAACATTGTACCAAGGCGGATTCGCTACAGGACCAACGGCGCCCACTCTAATACAAGATTCCATTTTGAGGTTATGTGCCGAATTGAAAAATGACGCAGTGTCGCTGGTTGACGTCATAGCAGTCCCAGATTTTCTACTTAACTCTGTGCTGGGTGCTTCAGATGGAATGGTGAGTCAAAAATCGAATAGTTTTTCCCTTTTATTGATGTGTTATTAAAGATGAACTATTCCACACTCATTATTCCAGATTTCTTGGAATTTTCTCTCCTCGTTTCTATAAAATAAAAATATTAGTATTATTTCAATATACGTGTAGTGAGGAAAAACCACATGGTTTCTCCAAAATGTCACTGCATTTAAAAGATATATAAAGGCATATAGAAAAAATATCAGATTTTCACTTATCTTTGATGGAAGTTTTGAGAACGAATCTGCTCCCGTTTTCAACATAAAAATGGAAAATATTTGTCACACTGAACTGATCGTCCTGTAACTTCTTTAATTCTTGTCCGATTTTGGTGAAATTTCGACCAAATCAAATTTTAATTGTCAAGAAAAGTCGATGGCGTGATCAATATACAGAAAAAAGACAAAAATTACTCTTTTATTCACTTAACGCTCTGTAGCAAAAGTGAGTAATTACATTTAGTTTCATCATGTTTTCGATTGAAGTGTGATCATATATCATCACAATGGCTTTTGATTCATTCAATATCCTCTTCAGATTAGATACAAGTGTTTTGAGAAGGTATGAAATTTTGAAAATTTTTATGAACAACTAGCTGACCCGGCAAACGTTGTTTTGCCATAACGTTATTTCTAGAAAAAATGTTTTTACATATGTATTTATCAAAGAACTTTCATTATTTTATTTATACTTCTTTTTAGTTCGGCTATCCATGAAAACGGGATTCTTTAATTTTTCAAACTATTCTACTTATTCTCTACTTCTTTTTAGTTCGTCACTTTATTTCTCTTCATTTTTTCATTTATTTACTACTCACTTCTTTTTAGTTTGGATATCTATAAAACGTGTTCCATTAGTTTTTCAAACTACTATTCAATACAATAACTGATGCTGATACCTGGCACACGTTGTTTTGCTATATACATTTTCTTCTAGAAAATTTTTTTTTAGTTAAATATTCATCAACACACTTTTATTATTTTGTTTTGAACTTCTCTTCAGTTTGGATATCCATGAAATCGTGTTTCATTAGTATTCAAAACTACTATTCTTATTTTCTACTTCTTTTTAGTTCGACAATCTATCTCGTTTTTTAAACTATACTATTCATTTTCTACTTCTATTCAGTTTGACTATCTATAAGAGCGTGTCTCATTATAGTTTTTCAAACTACTATTTATTACAAAGCTCTTTCACCATATTGGATCCGCCATCTTGAATTTCCCAATTTTAAAGAATGAAATCATAATCTCCGACCCCGTAAACCCCCTGATACAGATTTTGAATAGAATCGGATCATAATTACAAAACTCGTTCGGCATATTGGATCCTTCATCTTTAATTTCCTAATTTTGACGAAAGAATCATAATCTCCGACCCGAAAATACCCCAGATACAAATTTTGAATGGAATCGGATCATAGTTACAAAACTCGTCCGCCATATTGGATCCGCCATCTTGAATTTCCAAATTTTGACAAATGATCCATATCTCCGACCTCTAAAACCTCCAGATACCAATTTTGAATAGAATCTGACCATAATTACAAAACTCGTCCGCCATATTGGATCCGCCATTTTGAATTTCCAAATTTTGACGAACTTACCATAATCTCTGAACCCGAAAACCCTCAGATACCAATTTTGAATATAATTGGATCATGAGTACAAAACTCGTTCGCCATATTGGATCCGCCATTTTGAATTTCCTAATTTTGATAAATAATCATAATCTCTGACCTCGAAACCCCCAGATACCAATTTTGAATGGAATCTGACCATAATTACAAAACTCGTTTGCCATATTGGATCCGCCATTTTGAATTTCCTTAATTTTGATGAAAAAATCATAATCTCCGACCTCGAAAACCCCCAGATATCAATTCTGAATGGAATCTGATCATAATTACAAAACTCGTCGGCCAAATTGGATCCGCCATCTTGGATTTCCAAAATTTGACGAAAGAATCATAATATCCAACCCCGAGAACCCCCAAATACCAATTTTGAATGAAATCGGATAACAATACTCGTCCGCCATATTGGATCTGCCATCTTGAATTTTCGATTTAAAAAATAGATTACGACCGATTCTAATACCTACCGAATACGCACAAAAAATTTCATACGAATCGGTCGAGCCGTTTCGCAGGAGTTCGACCACTAACACCGTGACCGGGACAGGAGAATTTTATATACAGTGTGACCCACTTCTAATGGAACCACCCCTGTATCTTACGTATTCGTTGGGTAAGGATCCTGAAATTTGCTGGAGCGAGAGATATGCCAAAAATGCACTCTATGACCAAGTGGGGTCATCTTCAGTGATTTACACTGCTCGCCAACAGCCATGAAACTTCCCCAATTTCCGGAAAATGATATTAGGAGTCAAAATAGGTCGAAAATCACTTAGTTTAGTAATTCCAAAGAAAAAAAAATCAGTTTCACTTCATTTTAAATAAACATGAACCAGCACACCAATACCATATTGATTGGTTCCAATTGATGGTCTAGATTGTAGTTGCTAGTTGTGAATATGAAAAGTAGCACAAAATAATGTTTTTTTCCAGGTCTACAAACGACTTCAAGATTCTATGTTACAAAATCAATATTGTATCAATAGACCTCCATGGTGGAGAGATATCGTGAAGACAACACTACAAAATAAACTGTGATAGGATAGGGCAAATGATTTGCTATGTATATTTAAAGTTACTATAGTATCAGCAGATCAGATTTCATCATTTTTTTGTCTTATCTGATTTTAAAGAAAAAATAAAAGCAACACGCTCAAGAACTCAAAAAAATGGTCAATGTTAAATTTGAGATTATTATTTAGAGCGATTTTGAAACTCTGGTAAATTTTCAATCCACAGTATCTTGATGTAAAATATCGCAATTTATCATTATTCAAGGAAAAATAAAACCTATCGTATTTTATGTACTTACTCAATATTTTTTATTGTTCAACTCGGCAATATATATTGATCAAAAAATCATTAACGATAGATAAGAAACATCGTCTACCAGTAAATCGTCATAATCCATCAATTTTCAAATTGGACCATTTTTCTGGGGTTTTGAATGTGTTGTTTTGTGGTGGTTGGGAATTATAATATTAGTTAAACAATCAGATGCTGGAACATCCTCTTCAGCAATTCCAACGATCATTTGAGGATAGTACTAGTAAAGAGTGGATAAAAATTACTGAAATAATAAGATCCTAGAGTTGATAATATTGTTTCAATATTTCCAGGATTTCATTATTTAACGAAAGCAAGGATGGATCAACAATTTAAACGAAAAAAAAAAAAAAATCATTTGAGAAAATTGTGAAGTTCATTCCTACATTTGTCTGAAAGAAATACGAAATTAGTAATGGAGAACACCGGCCGATAGCCGATATAAGAAAATTCCATATTTTTATGCACCCTAGAGAAATTTCACAGTGTCAGTACCATTTATCACAGTATCACAATAACAAACATAATTTGAAACAACTTCCTTTATCAATTTGCTGTGATATGATTGGGATCTTTAGGAGTGAAATTTTCATAAGATGAAAAATAAAAAATGTGAAAAAAATTATGTAGGAAAAAGCAACACAAAATTTTGCTTCATAAGTTTTTTTTAGTTCTTTAACATCTTCCACTTTCGAAGAGTTCAATTCAAGGTTATTCATGCTTGAAAATTGAATCGAAATAAATTCATTTTATAAAGCAGAATAAATACATTTTATTATGCAGAATTTTAGTAAGGACTTGTTCAAACATTGAAGAAGATCTGTTACAAGAAAAACAATTATACTTTTCTAGCTTTCGTGAAAGTAATGTTTTATTAGTATATAACCCAATATCAAATATTTTGAAACGAACAAATTTTATTGCCATTGCAAGTTGACAATACTTTGGCATTTTTAATTTTAATATTTTATTACAAAGGTATATTTTTATATTTACAATGTTCCATATTATCATTGTTATTGTTGAACATAGTTTTTAAGGAATAAATTTGTTGAGTATTAAATGTTTTTATTTTATTAGATTTCCATTAACATTCCATTTACATTTCAGAAGTTACATTATTTATATGTTCCAGAAAGTGATTCAACTCTTTTAATGTACTGTTCCTTGGCTGTTTTTGGGCTCATGCCTTTTTTGCTATTCCAGGCCTCCCATTTCGTTTTCCCTTCTACATCTGAAGGTTTGGCTAAAAATAACAGTCATAAGTATAAAATTCATGTATTTCAACAAAAATGTTTTCCATATGCGTGTAATATACCTAGTATAGTTTACCTAACGAGTGCGAAGTCACTTTACACACGTGTTAGGTACACTCTATTTCCTCTACAACTGCTATGAAAAGTAGCGTATTTTTCATAGCTTATAGTTAGTTTCAAAACTATGTATTGTTCATGCCGTGAGAAATATTTTTTCTTTCAAAATTGCTTTTGTTTCACTGTGTTCGATACATCAATGAGGTACTTTGTATGTAATTAATTTTATTTCCGTATCTGATATCACAATGACTCCATTGTGTTATTATTTCAAAGATATCTCATCGCTAATGGAATATCAAATTTCAAGCAATGACAGCTCTGTATATGTATGAGCATTACTCGAGAAGAAATTAAATGGCTACAAGACGAACAAATAAAAAATGCCACTGTTATCTATATAGCCGTAGAAAAATTATAGTGTATAACTCGCACGGAATGCTTATTTCCCACTCGAATAATTGCAGCATTCGCCTACGGCTCATGCTGCAAACTTCATTCTCGTGGAAAATCACTATCATTCCGTGCTCGTTGAACAAAATACTATTTTCTACGGCTATAACGCAAGATTGCTCTTGTTCTACTGTGTTCGATACATCAATGAGGTACTTTGTAAGTCATTAATTTTATTTTCGTATCTGAAATCACAATGACTTCATTGTGTTATTATTTAAAAAAAAACTCATCGCCCATGGAATGTTGAATTTCAAGCAATGACAGCTCTGTCTAATGAATGAGCATTACTTGACAGGAAATCAGATGGTTACATGACAAAGAAATCGAAAATGCCGCTGTTATCTATTATAGCCGTAGAAAAATTATTGTGTATAACTTGCACGGAATGCTAATTTCCTATTCGAATGATTGCAGCATGAGCCATGCCAACTTCATTCTCATAGGAAATCATATCATTCCGTGCTCGTTGAATATACCATTTCCCACGGCACTTTGCCAACACCACATACATTTATTTCCATGGAGAATCGACAACTTAGTTGGCTGCAGTTCAGCTTTGGTTAGTTATCACAACTGTAAGCTGAAGTTCTATACATTCTTAGTTTTCATTAGTGCTTTGATAAAAATGTCAATTTCCATTAAATATTATTCCAACAATGCATAATAAATAATATGTATATGTTCTGTCCTCACAGAATTTATTGATTTATTTTTTGTTAGCTTCGGGTCATTGAAATAATTATAGCATAAATATAAAAAATATAAATTTGGCATGAGAGAATCTTATCGCTCTGTACAGTAATTAACCTTGCGCATCAAAAAGCAACGAAAGATTTCTGCGCAAGTCTCTCTCGAAGAGATGCGAAAGAGACTCAAAAAAGAGACACTTTTGATAACCGGAAAAGCGCGCTTGAACACACTAAAAATATTCGGGAATCCTAAGTTATCGGATTTATTCCCAAAATATCTTCATACTAGCTTTAATGCAAGTGTCGGTGCATACCGCGAATGTGTAGACTCGATTGTGTGGATAGTGAGGACTATTATAGCAGATACAAATCGACATCAGGTGCCTGACAACGCCGGCCATCGGTAAGCGAACCGAATTCTATCGTTGCCGCAATTTGCAAATAATCATAAATTTATATTTTCACTCAAAGTCAAATACAGTCCACTAAAGCTTCTCTCTCGCCCAAACAGTATATACTGAGAGTAGTGACGACCGCCAGAGATAATAGAAAAATCTCCAAAAGTTAGATTTGTTGCCGGGAATTTCAAGAAAAAAGTATTGCAACAGTTTTAATCTTCTCCTGAAGATGCTAACATAGTTAGCGAAACACGTGTCGAGGCGTTCAAAAAATCGGTTTGGTTAGTGGTAAAACAGTGTAGTATACAGGCTGATTCACGGTGGATGGCACATTAGACGTTTCTGGTGAACCAGACAACGGATCATTTTGAAAATCCAATGGAGGGCATATTCGGAAATTCTCTAGCCAACTAAAATATTTTCGACAATGCGGTGTTGCCGCTTCTATTAGAAAGCAGTAGCAACTTTGATTTTTCAAATGGAACACTCTGTATTTTATTGCATTTTCAGATTCTCCCTGAAGAGCTGATTTCATCGATGTATCACACTTGATGTCTAGCGGAAATTATTACAGAGATATAGGGTGTGAAAAATCGACATTTTTCAACTTTAGAATTTTTTTGTGTCGAAACTATCCATCATTGGTCAAAACGGTTTACATGTCCCTATCTCAACTTCTGATTAACTATCTACTGATATTTAATTGGGACATATACCGGGTGATCAAGATTCTGAATTCTGCACCACCCTGTATTTGTTTCAATTAAATTTGAGTAGATAGTTGATCAAAATTTGAGATAGGGACATGTGAGCCGTTTTGACCAATAATGAATAGTTTCGACAAAAAAAATTCCTAAAGTTGAAAAATGTCGATTTTCCACACCCTATATCTCAGTAATCATTTCCGCTAGACCCCAAGTATAATACATCGATGAAATCTGCTCTTCAGGGAGAATCTAAGAATGCAATAAAATACAGAGTGTTCCATTTGAAAAATCAAAGTTGCTACTGCTTTCTAATAGAAGCGGCAATACCGCATTGTCGAAAATATTTTAGTTGGTTAGAGAATGTCCGAATATGCCCTCCATTGAATTTTCAAAATAATCCGTTGTTTGGTTCACCAGAAACGTCTGATGTGCCATCCACCGTGAATCAGCCTGTATAGATCTTCTAGGTCGCAGTGATCTACAATCTAGTTTCAAATAAAACTGAGTGACTTTTGCCATACAAGGCGCTACATTTTTGACAGAATGATTACCTATATCATTTTTTGAATTCACTCGGCCGTTACTTGATGGATATCCATGACAAATGTAAAAACTTCACGAACGATAAGATTTCCACAAAATTCCCAAACACACGACATGCTTCGCCAACACAGCAGCTCCGTCAGGTGATATACTGGTACAATGAGTTGATATACTGGTACAATGAGTTTTTACACCTATATCATTTATTAATTCCATCAAGTTAATAGGACCCAACAAAATTATCGCGATGTCACCCGTTGCTATAAGCCGTGGCCGAGTTTGTCTATGCGCTGAAATTCGCTAGATAGCCGTTCACGATGCGAAGGTACTGTCGGTTATTCGAATCCGGCTATCGGCTGAGCATTTTTCTTTAAAATGTGGGATTCATGGTTGAAATCATGGCAGCACCTCGATGCCCTAGAATTGGTTCGAATTCCACTATAAGCTGTAGGTTTCGCTCTTCCTAACCCCGCACAAGTTTCGACTTCTGGGGAGTTGGTTCCCAACTTTGAAGTAGCGATATACAAAAAAAACGAAAACAAAAAAAAATAAAAGTAGCCTTCTAATTGGTAGATAATAAATTTATGAAATTTTCATATTCATCACTTCAATTAATTGATTTATATCTATCAGATTATTTATTTAGAACCTATTTTATACTCACCCTTATTTATGTCGCCCACAGTAGCTTGTTTGAAGAGTGAATAAATTTCCAAAATGTCTTTCTCTGGTGGTCTCTTGGTGAATTTTCTTGCTTCATCACAAGCTTTCTTGAAGTTCTGCAGAATAGAATACCGGGTTGGCAATAGTAAATGACCGGTTAAATATCTCGTGAACTGTTCATCAGATTTTTTTCTCGTTTGTCGTATTCATTGGTAGGTTCTCTACATCTTTCTCAGGGCGCGATTTGAAATTTCAACGTTTCTTATTTTTTTCAAGAAATTGCCGACACATATGCAACAATGGCAAAACTGATATCAAGTAGATAGAAGAAAAGTTTCAATTATTGTCAGGTTTCAAGCATATAATTCCGTTATTCCAGATTTTTTTAGATTTTCTCTCGTTTCTATAAAAGAAATATATGAATATTATTTCAATATACGTGTAGTAAGGACAAATCAGATGATTTGCCCCAAAATTTCACTGCGTTCAAAGAATTTTCTTATCAAAGAGCCTAAAAGAAAAAATTCACTAGCTTGTCAGTGACAATTTGTATTGAAAAATGTTTGGAGAAGAGAAATAAAGGTATATAGAAAAAATATCGAATTTTTACTTAGCTTTGAAAGTTGCGGGAACGAATCTGTTCCCGCTTTCAACATTAAAAATGAACGGAGACAATAGCATTGCATCCTGTTCAGTTGATTACGATAGAACATGTTATTCACTATTGAAATCTGAAAATGAAAATGGTAAATTCATGATTAATTAATGAAAACATCCTGTAACTCATTTGATGAGAACTGAAAAGTATCTGGACAAATACGAATTTGCGATATAAAAAAAATCCATTTTTTATGTTGAAAACGGGAGCAGATTCGTTCCCGAAACGTCCAAAGCTAAGAAAAATTTGATATTTTTTCAATATACATTTATTTCTCTTCACCAAACTTTCTTCAATACAAATTGTCACTACAAGCTAGTGATTTTTTTCTTTTGGGCGCTCTGATAGGAAAATTCTTTAAACGCACTGACATTTTGGGGCAAACCATCTGATTTGTCCTTACTACACGTATATTGAAATAATATTCATACTTGTATTTTATAGAAAGAGAGAAAATCACAAAAAATCTGGAATAATGAATGTACCACCTCCTCGATTAACCTACAGACAGTATATAATTCCGTAAATACATGGTATTCACTACTAAAATCTGAACATGAAAATGGTAAATTCAAGATCAATTAATGAAAACATCCTGTAACTCATTTGATTGCCAACGTCACCAATTGTCATTGAAAACTGAAAAGCTTCAAGACATTATACGACTTCGCTATTGAAATAATCTCTTCTTATGTTGAAAACGGGAGCAGAACCGGTCCCGAAACGTCCAAAGATAAGTGAAAATTTGATATTTTTTCTATATACCTTTATTTCCCTTCTCCAAAAATTTTTTCAATACAAATTGTCACTGACAAGCTAGTGAATTTTTCTTTTAGGCTCTCTGATAGGAAAATTCTTTAAACGCAGTGACATTTTGGGGCAAATCATCTGATTTGTCCTTACTACACGTATATTGAAATAATATTCATATTTTTATTTTATAGAAACGAGGAGAGAAAATCCCAAAAAATTTGGAATAATGAATATAATTCCGTATTATAAACTCTCTTGGAACAGTTATTACCTGGAGCAGTTCTTCATTATAGGAATTTCCTTTCGAGCGCCCCAAGAGATAATTTTTTTTTCAAATCAGAATTTATTCCGGGTGTCCCAGATTTGTTCATACAGCGAATATCTGTTTTCCTGCTCGGAAAAAATTTAATATCACTTTGAAGTCATTGTGTCAAAGTCAACTTCTGTCAAACTACCCCTGAAAAGTCACCCACCTTCAATTATTCAAGTTACACACTCTTAATTTTTTTGTTGATTTGTGAAGTGCAATGATTTCTTACTTCAACGAGGTATCAGACTTGATATATTGACAAACGTAAAAACTTCCAAAATAACAAAATTCGAAGAAAACAGTATCAGGTGTAGATCATTTCTTCTGTTATGTTTTATTTTACAGTTGTTCATGTACGCGTCTTCAAGTCAGTTTGAAGGGATGTACACCAACTAATAAGACAATGCATTTTACGTTTACTCCACATGATGAGTATTCTGTCAATTGGACATCAGTTAGGTAATCAAGGTTGATACAACATTGCAGTTAGAATTGATTCCACTTCACCAATCAACAAAAAATTTTGTTTCTATCAATATTCGTTCAACATCATTAAAATATTGGAAGTTGGCGATCTCTCTTATAGTTGCGACATGACGGTTTAAACTTTTTGAAATTGAATTTTAAATAAAATTAGCAGCATAGCAAAGTTCCTACATAATTGATAATAATATAATAAGCAGTCAGAAGAAATATAGTTTAAAACTTAGAGCAAATTTTTGGTGGTGCGTTACCTAATTTTTACCAGCAGACCATGAGATATGAGACTAATTGTTTGGAGGATACATTATTTAGATTTGCCAAGATTATAATTAACAATCAAGTATTACAGAAATGTGTGCTTACCTGTTCCAAAGACATCGTATGCATCAACAACAAAATCTAGTATTTTTAGTATATTTATACTTGAAAGTTTTGAAATATTTAGGTATCTAATACTATGCAATCATTCTGTCAGAAATAAATATATACCAAACTTTTTTATGGAAGCTAAACTGAATAATATTCTTTTAAAACTTTCATGAAAATAAGTAAACGTCATAAAACTTCATATAACATAGTGCTTATTAACATATACAGGGAGTTAGGGAGATTATACCTACGCGTAAATAAAGCAGTGTGTTGGATATTGGAGTTGGATAAAATTACATTTTTGTACTGTTGGGACTAAAGTATACCTATATGTTAAATACTGTCTGCAGGTTAATCGAGGAGGTGCTATATTCATTTCACTTGATTCTTTGGGATTTTATTCTCTCCTCGTTTCTATAAAATAAAAATATTCGTATTATTTCAATATATTTGTAGTGGGCCAAATCAGATGATTTGTCCCAAAATGTCACTGCGTTTAACAAATTTTTCTATCAGGAAGTCTAAAAGAAAAATCCAGTAGCTTGCCAGTGACAATTTGTTTGAAAAAATGTTTGAAGAAAAGAAATATAGATATATTGAAAAAATATCGAATTTTTACTCATCTTTGGACGTTTCGGGACCGAATCTGCTCCCGCTCTCAACATATAAATGCAAAATATTTTTCTTCGAAAGTTTTGCTGCTTATAGTTTGACACTTTTCAGTGTCATACTGGCATATGAATTATTTTAGTCTACAAATGATTTACAGGATGTTTTTATTAATTGATCTTGAATCTACCATTTTCATGTTCAGTTTTCAGTTGTGAATATCATGTTCTATCTATATCTACTGAACAGTAGTAGTAGTAGTAGTAGTAGTAGTAGTAGTAGTAGTAGTAGTAGAAGAATGCAAGCGGATTCCTTGATTTTTCTTTCTTGATTGTTATCTTCCTTTCCTATGATTTTGATATTATTCCACTCTGCCATATGTTGTCCATCTTCAGTAAGGATATGTTCAGTTAGCTTCGATTTGTCGATGTCTTTTCTTGATATTGTACTTGTGTTCTTTAGTCCTTACTGAGAGAGGTCTTTTCGTTTCACCTGTATAATACTTTCCACAAACACAAGGTATACTATAGATATAATTTTTTGATGATTGTTCTTCATTTTTTGGCTTTGTTTGAGTTAAAATGAAAAGTGTCAAACTACACTCACCGGCAAAATAATCGATCCACTCAAAATATTGATGAAATTTGATCAACGATAACTTCGTTAATTCATGTCTGATTCGTTCAATTTTTTCTTTATTCTGTAGGTAAATTCATAAAGAATCACACACAATGTTGAGATTTCAAGAAATGAGGCATATCTTCAAATTATACAGAGTGACAAAAAAAGTGCATTTTTACTTCAATTTTAAAACAATCTCTGGAGTGGCTAAGCTGGTACATCCTGTAATTTTTCAGTCCATCATCAAGCTACGTTTATTACGAACATTTTCTTTTTTTATTTGTTAGGATAACTGCATTTTTGTGGAAGTTACAAGGGTTTCAGAAGAACGTTACATTTCAACATTTTTTTCTATGGTAATAACAAGGTTCCCCAAGACATTTTTTGCATAGCTGGCTGTGACAGACCTGTCAGTTGACAATTTGTATGCTTGTGTTAATCATCGAATGGTTGAATAAGATATGGATTTTTCTGCAACCGACTCTGCGAGAGCTATTGCTTTGGTGCAGGATGGTAGATTTCAATATTATGTGGCCAGAGCTTTGGGAGTTTCAAGATCCAGGGTGCAAAGGGCTGTGAAACGGTTTCGTGAATTTGGTGTATTCACAAGAAGAGGTAATAGTGATCGGAAAAAATCTACGTATGATCGAGATAACCGCTTAATAACTCTCAAAGTTTTGAGGGACAGAAGACTTACTTCTGTTCATTTGAAAAACCAATTAGAGGAGGTGAGGCAAGTTCAAGTCAGCGATAGAACAATAAGAAGGAGGCTTTTCGATATTGGACTCCGAGCAAGTAGACCTGCAACTGGTCCAGAGTTATTCAGGAATCATCGAGTTAATCGCCTCAGATATGCTAGGGAACACGAATATTGGGGTAATGAACAATGTAGCAATATCCTATTCACCGACGAGTCAAGGTTTTGTCTCAGATCACCGGATGGACGTGAAAGAATTTACAGAAGAACTGGAGAACGTTTTCTCCAAAATCATTTTTTGCCAAGAGTGAGTTACGGAGCCGGTTCGATAATGGTGTGGGGTGGCGTGAGTTTTGAAGCTAAGACGTACTTAGACAGAGTGGAAAGGGGGTCCATGACAGCTGATAGGTATATAAGAGACGTTTTAGAACCACATGTTGTTCCATTTGCGCCGTTCATCGGAGACGATTTCATGCTTATGCATGACAATGCCCGACCGCATGTTGCAAGGATTGTGAATGAGTATTTAGCCGATGTTGAACTCGCAGTAATGCATTGGCCTCCTCGAAGCCCAGTCTTGAACCCAATTGAACATGTTTGGGGTGCTCTTGGAAGAAAAGTACGATCTCATTTACCAGCTCCTGCAAATTTGAAGCAACTCAGTGAAGTGTTAATTGAAGCATGGCAGCAAATCGATCAGGTGTATATTCAAAATCTGATAATGGGCATGTCAAGACAAATTGCAGCAGTTATTCGTGCGCGTGGGGGAAACACGTACTGAGTTCATTAGCATTTTTCAAATGATTTTCAGGTTTCATTAGTTACGTCGGTTATGTTCATCATTGCTTAATTTGAAATGTTTATTATCACCAAAATGTGTGAATGTAACGTTTTTTTGAAACCCTTGTAACTTTCATGAAAAAGCAGTTATCGTAACAAATAAAAAAAGAAAACGTACGTAATAAACGTAGCTCGATGATTAAATGAAAAATTACAGGATATACCAGCATAACCACTCCAGAGATTGTTTTAAAATTGAAGTAAAAATGCACTTTTTTGTCACTCTGTATAATTTGAAGATATGCCTCATTTCTCAAAATCTCAAAATTGTGTTTGATTCTTTATGAATTTACCTACGGAATAAAGAAAAAATTGAACGAATCAGACATGAATTAACGAAGTTATCGTTGATCAAGTTTTATCTATATTTTGAGTGGATCGATTATTTTGCCGGTGAGTGTATAAGCAGCAAATCTTACGAAGAAAAATATTTTGCATTTATATGTTGAGAACGGGAGCAGATTCGGTCCCGAAACGTCCAAAGATAAGTAAAAATTCGATATTTTTTCAATATATCTATATTTCTTTCCTTCAAACGTTTTTTCAAACAAATTGTCACTGACAAGCGACTGGATTTTTCTTTTAGACTTCCTGATAGAAAAATTTGTTAAACGTAGTGACATTTTGGGGCAAATCATCTGATTTGTCCCACTACAAATATACTGAAATAATATGAATATTTTTATTTTATAGAAACGAGGAGAAAATCCTAAAGAATCAAGTAAAATGAATATACCTATATGTTATACAATTTTTCCAAGAAGCCTATTTTCTGAATAAACTGTAGGAGTAAAGATTAACTGACTTAGGTAGGTATCTCTAGAGTCACTGAATGGTATTAGATATGAGTTCGGACGCAGAAATGACAACTGTTAGTGTTTTTGAATGTTTAGATTTATTAAGTTACACACCTTGCATTGTGACAATAGCACCATAGTCGTTCCGCGCTTGATCATTTGAAATTGTTCTTATTTGACAATAAATACTATGAACGTCAAAATTGAAATATAATTGCATGAACTATTGAAAAGAGAGCATAAATGAAAATGTCCTACTGTGTAATGAATTGTGGGAATTCTGAAGAGAATGAATTTTATTTATTTAATTAACTATAAAGGAAATATCAAACCCCATTCTCTTATGGAAGGAATGTACGAAACGGCCTGGAAGGAAAATTAATTTGAAGACAAGCAAAATTTGTGAGAAACATACATTAAAATTCACTTTTTATAACAGCAGAATAGAATGAAACTATATTTTAAGCCCATTTTCAAACACAATCAAAATGACTTGACGGGTAAGAGGTTGGAAAAAATGATGAAATATATATTGACCAATGCATTTTATTGGATTACCGCTAAGGCCAATCAAGTTCAACACCAGTAACATCTAAAGCCACCACGTCTACAGGATATCCGGTTATCGAGGATAAATTCGGCTCAGTCCTGTGAAAATCTCCATTCACAAATTCCTTCACATAGGTACCAGCCTGTGTAATCAAGTCTACGTAAATCAAATCCGAATGACCTAAAAAAAAATTACATTCTGATAATTCAGATGGGACATAATTTGTTCCTTAAACAAATTTTTACTGATGTCATAAAATAAAACACTCGATTTTTCATTGACACTGATAAGCAAGTGACGTTTCAATGATTCAAATGCAAAACTTGAGCTTCGGCATTCTTTTTTTCTAGTGATTTTTGGTCTCATCCAGTTCATGATAGATGAAAATATCAGTGTATCCCCAGGACTTTAGTACTGGAAGTCAAAAAATTCGTAAATAGACGATAAATAGAATAGCGTTTATTGACCACATTACATACATAAGTACATTTGAAGTCATTTAAAAACATAGTTAGTTGAGATCAAAATTAATAAAATACTTCAGCACATCACAGTAAAAATACAGCACGACAGAAATTCAATTAAAATTCAAATATTGATTGACACTATAAAAACAATGCTCCAAGAGGAACCCTCTAGAGAATCTGTAGAATTCGTTGAGGGACATATTTTTTATTTGTTTGTCTTTGAACATATTATTTAATTTGTTGTAGAGTTTCAGATCAGATTTATTGTTTTGAGTTATACAGATTCTTGAGTACGGAGTCAGTAGATCGTCCGCCTGCCGTGTGTTGTAATCATGAAGATTCGAGTGTTTTAATAATTTGGGCAACTTACGGTGGATAAACAATAGTGACTCAAAGATAAGATACATGGTAATGGCAGAATTTCATATTTTTTGAAGAGACTCTGACAATGTGCTCGACTCTGCGCGGCATCAACAATGCGCACAGCTGATTTTTGGATTGCAAATACTTTGAGTGCTGCACTGGAGTTGCCCCACAGAGTCACGCCATATGACAGGTGACTATGAACTAGGGCATAGTATATTGTTCTCATAATTTTATTGTCCCTGATACATGAACGCAGTTGTCTCATAACAAATAACTGACAGGAAAGTTTTGAGCAAAGACATTTAACGTGGCTTGACCAGTTCAGCCTTGTGTCGAGTGTAATGCCCAACACTTTCACAGTTTCAATAGACCAATATATCTGAATGTTTGCCAAAGAGAATTGCAATGTTGCCACAGCCACGTCGATACACTAAAATGTCCGCGTTCATAAACTGAATTGGTAATAATAAATAATTACATACAAATTTTGGTTGTAGAAAAAAGTAGATAAGCATAACGCCTTGTAAACATATTAGTCCAACATCCCATGAACGCCAGACCTTCGTTATTTTATAAAAGCTGAGTTTCTCAGCACATGCACATGTAAAAAGGATGGGCAAATATGGAGTTTAGGTCGAAGGTAAGAATGCCAACCTACTTTCCTCATACTATGAAGAGTATGAAGGGTAATTTTTTCATATTTTATTCGGGATAATATATGAAACCACGTCATCCATTGCCAGACACGTTACCATGGTGGCTACCCCTTGCCAGACATCCTTAAACCTTGATGAATGGTAATTCAACTTTCGTTGAAGTGCTGAATTTTATATATTTTACTTGGGTAACTATTAGAAGCCAGACAGTTCTAAAGTTCTGCTGGTGCTAAACCCTAGCCAGACAGACATACAATGCTTTTGTAAGGTACTGAATAAATTCATTTTCAGTCAAACTATCAATTTCTGAAGAATCTTGAAATAGGTCGACTGTTGATTTCAATTTGCCACATTCATACGAGGATATTAAATATACAGGGTGATCCAGGATGGAATCATCATGTCCGCGTCAATTATTTAAAATGGAACACCATATATATTATTCAATTTTGGGAATCTCCATGGGAAGCTGAATCCAAAAATATAGTACTCATAGGGATTGTATACAGTGCGTCCGTTAAATCAGGTGCTCTCGTGAAGTAGTGGAAAAATTTGTTGAAAATTAAAGGAATAATTTTTGGAAAGACATTTCTCCAAATTCAACAATTCGTGTATGAGAAACTATGTCATCGGTTTTTTTGTGGCAACCCCATTTTACCAGAGCACTAAATTTAACGGGCGCACTGTATGTGCATCCTGAGTGTGATATATTTTTAGATCCAGCTTCCCATTGAGATTCCAAATATTGAATAGTATATGTATATGGTGTTCCATTTGGAAAAATCATCGCGGACGTCATGAATCAGACGTGGATCACCCTGTATATTGAATTTTCCCTCACAAATGTGGGAAAATAAAAATAAAATTCGACCTCTTTCAGTAGATTCCTCAGAAAAGGATAGTTTTGCTAAAAAAGTATTCCCAACAACATACGATCTCCAGAAGTTCAAAAAAAATTCCAATACCTACCTCCTGTCCCTATCCTGCCTAGGAACACACGATGTTCGTTGAACATCATAGGAATTTTCTTTCGTGCGCTCCAAGCGATAAAAAAAAAACGAGAATCCTTGATGCACTGTATACAACTGCTACAATGGAAGATTTTTATTTTATGTTCTGGTTCCCACGAAAAGGGATATCTTGTAATGTTCAGAGATCATCGTGAGAGCCAAGGGAAATAAGGTAGGAATTGGTGTTCTTCTTAAATTTCTGGAGGATATATGCCTCGGGGAACGCCTCCCTTGGCAATGTGTTCCAGAGCCTCGCTGTTCGTTGGATGAACGAGTCTTTGCAAAGAGATCTGCAGGTCTCCAAAGTGACCACAAAGGGGTGCGAAGCCTCAACTCGACGGGTTAATCTCACGGGGACTGCCAAGGGAGGAACAATTGTTGATATTTCAGAAGAGCATCGCCCATGAAAATATCTATAAAATAGAGCCAGATCGCCAACTTTTCTACGGTGTTCCAGAGAAGTGAGTGAGTTTGTGAGCGAGGCATCACCCACGAGACGAATTGGCCTTTTCTGAACAGAATCCAACAGTTTCAGGGTATGTTTGGGTGCCGCATTCCAAATATGGAAACAGTATTCCAGGAGAGGTCGGATCTGTGCCTTATAGATCATAAGCACCTGACTGGAAGTGAAATAGCTCCAGGCCCGAAACAGGAAACCAAGTTTTTGGTATGCACTTTTAGCAATCGATCTCACGTGATTTTCCCAAGAAAGGATAGTAATACCAAGCATCGAAATGGATGTCTTCAAAGGTATGGTTACTCCTGACAAGCTTTTGTTGGGCACAATGAGATCTGCTTTTCTAGAGAAAAGGCATGCTTGTGCTCTGTTTGCATTGAAATCTACCAAGTTATTAGTGTTCATTGTCCAGAAGCGAATAATACGGTGCATAGCAAATATTCAGCTAGAGAATCGTGTAGAAGTCTCTTCAAGGAATATAAAGTTTTGACATTGACATATCTTTGAATTATGTGTATGTTTTCAAAAATAGATCAACTTTTACAATGAATCAGAATCTACATGACCATAGCACATGAAATAAGAATCACTTTCATTTGTCATTAGCAAGGTGTAGCAAGTGAGTTCATCTGCCCCGGACTGCATTGGACCTAAAATATTCAATAAACTTCATGAAGATTTGAGGTCTATGAAACACATCATTATGTTCAGAAAGATGTTGAAAGACTATTTATTGGGAGCATGTTTTAATACAATTTCAGAATTTTTAGAATAAGATTAGTTTTAGGTATTACCGATTCTATTCTATTACTATTAAAATTTCATCTGCAATGTTCTGTTTCCTTTGTAGCGAGTCTTCTATATAACCCTCTGCTACTGTACTGGACTTCCATCCACCATGTCTATTAATTGTAGTAAGACTAGCACCAGAGTCCGCCAACAAACTAGCTGAGGAACGTCGGAAACAATGTCCAGTATATAGATGGGAATCAGGCAAATTAAGAAATTCAGCAATTTTGGCAGGCATCTTACCAAATGTGTTGATTCCAACTGGAGTCCCGGCACATTTATTTTTAATGCATTTTATAAAAACTCTCTAATATCCACTGTAGTAGTTCATATACAATGTACCACTTACAACAAAGGTGCGTTGCACGTTAGTTTTTGTGTCTGGTATATGCACAACTAGTGAGTTCCGGAATCCTCGATATTATTTATTGTCAAATCGCACAGTTCTTCCCGACGACAGGCTCCAAAAACACCAAAAATCGCAACAACTTTCTGCATTAGATATATTTCATCTGGGGCTTCTGCGAGAAATTTGTCGATTTGTTCTCTTGTCAATACTTTTGACTTTTTCGGTCGATATCCTTCACCCTTTCGCTTCAAAAAAGCCACAAGCTTGTGATATCTGCTTATGTCATGATCATTTATGTTCATCATCGACTTTAACATAGAGTAATTCGACCAAAGCGTTGACGATTTCCATATTTTGGACTTTTCTTCAGAGTATGCAAGAAGCACTTTTTCACTGGCCTCCTTTCCACTGACATTTTTCTGATCACACCATTTCAAGAAACGTTCGTATGAAAACTCGTACTGTCGCTTTGACTTACTAGGCAATAATTCAAAAACAGCTTTATTGGCAGCTTCTTCAATTTGCGGCGGAAGAAATTCATTCTCTTGGGCACTTTCCATCGAGGAACGAAGAAACGAGAAAGAATAATTAGTGATTTATTGGCGTTAGTTGTCAAGAAAGATAAATTAACAAATTCAGTTTTTGTTTACCGTTTCATGAATAGATTAGATTGAATTGGATTCAAAACTGATAATCTCGAGGCTGTTATTTAATCAATTAATAAGTAATGTAAAATAGTTAATTTGGACTTTTAATGGTGTTTGTAAGAAAATAGTGTATGATATATGTGCTAAAAGTGTTTTTTCTTTCGTTAGAAGGGATGGAACTTCCCTTCTCACAAAATAAATTCACCTTTAGCACTTATATCATAAATAACTATAGGCGAATCATGCTAAGGAGTACGCCCTCTACCGTTGTCTAATATAAGTAACGTATGGGCCATTGATTGCTTTGTTTACATTAGTTTGCGTGTATTTTGTATGAGAAGTAGTTGTGTTTTAATTGTCTATAATTTTGTTTGAGAACTTCTATAAACGTTTGAAAACATGAGTCAGTATTGTTGTGTACCTCATTGTTCATCTTGAGCAAAAAATCCCGAGTATAGCTTTCATTCCTTTCAAAAATCAGGACAGTCTGAATCTGTATTTGAAACTAATAATTTGGGAAACAAGGAAGTGATCGGTAGGAGAAAGGTGTGGATTCATAACTTGAAGATTGGAAAAAGTGTCTTATCATAATGAGATATTGTTTTTTTGAAAATTTACTCATGTAGGTATATTTTCAAATGTATGTCTATTATGAATATAATACCAACTTCTTGAGGTGATGGTAATAAAACAAACAAATTTTAAACTGATTATATCTTTACTCATGATCAGTAGAATTTTTAAACAGTAAAGAATTTTATCAATCAGAGTTTTGATGATTATGTTGTAAAAAGTCAAGTAGAAACTGTATACCTAAATTCACCTTCCAAAGAACATTTTATTCCCAAAAAGTATGCTGGATTTTTTTTTTGATAATATCATGCTATCAGGGGAATTTCCCAACCATATATTCGAATTGGAAATCAACATCCCACACAGGTTTTCATGAGAATTTTCAACTAGAGGTAAGGAGGTTATCTAATGTTGAACAGAGATAATATAGTCCTCAATCAAAACACAGTAGACCACTGGAAAATACAAAGTTCGAAAATAGACAAATAACAAAGGTGAACGTTTGAAAATTCAAAACGAAATGAACATAAACACCATTACCAAACAATGTAAACAATCCGCCAATGGCCCATAGAGTAGTACCGACATTCGCCGTTCTGGCGCTACGATCTTAATCTCAGTCGCCTATTATGTAAGTATAACTTTCAAACGGTTCCCATAGTGTCAATGATATTCGGGCAACTCGATTAACTCATACTAATGATCCATTCGAAATGTAAACGGTTGTTCAGTGATTATGTTTTATACATGATGGGACGATTTTATTCCGGGTGGCATTTTCGACAGAGGTGACAAATTTGACATTTTTCTTCCACCATTTGATTCCTTCATCTTTTTTCTACAAAAATAGTATACCATATTTCAATATTTTAATATAATTGTACCGTTCTAGATAAAATCGCATTTAAAAAACCATACATCCCAACCGTTTCATAGATAATAAAAACTCTATGTAATCAATAACATTATGGTAGCATAGATCTATAGAAAGTCAAATGGTGTTATCACTTCCTATTGAAAGGAGTTTCGAAATCTCTCGATATCGCCTACTTTGTAAAAAAAGCGAGGCGTGGGAGAATCTTGCTAAATTTACGAAGTTTCAAACCAAATTTACAGGCATCATGAGTTCACTTTGTCATTTTCACAATTTTTTGTTTAAATGGGAACGGTGCATCATATTTTCGAGTTTCAATGGTGAATTCATGAACGACACGAAGTCCTTACTCAAGAAAATCCTGTGATAATAGTATATTTACTCACTTTTGGTACATAAAATAAAACTAATGTTAGGATTTTCAAATAATCCTCACACATTGAAGCACTTGTCCTTACTACAGGTATATTGAAATAATACTAATATTTTTATTTTTAGAGACTAGGAGAAAAACACAAAAATCAAAAGAAATAATCCCACAAAATCTTGAGATTCATTATATCTCATACAACACCCTATTTTATTGTATGCTCCAATTTCTGAAACACCCAGTATATTCCCTTACCTGGTACAGAAGTCGCCCTCAAAGAGTGTATAACCCTGTCTCTCACTGCTAACGTTCTTCTATGAAGCACCCTCATCGGTGTTTTCTGGTGTATCTCGAATTTTTCCTTGCCATAAGAGTTGATCACTTCTATCACAGAATCAACATCAGGTGCCAACGTTTTGCAAAGGGCAAAATAGTGCTTCTTCTTAAACTCCTCGCCATCCTTTATCTTCTTGATGGAGCTCTGATCGACCTTCTGCATATTCACTACTGCAGCTATACCGCTCTTCAAGATGTCATCTTCTATTTCCCTGAGTTGTTCGAATGTTATTTGATCAGTAAGGGGGTCTTGAATTTGAATATAGAATGGCCTACCGTTGCCCAGCATTCGAACGTCTGCATCCTCGCGACCGCTGGCCGAAAACGTCATTTTATTTCGATCGAATCTGGAAACAGAAAATTATAAACACTTTTCTCTAAATACTGTCTGTAGGTTAATCGAGGAGGTGGTACATTCATTTTACTTGATTTTTTGGGATTTTCTCTCCTCGTTTCTATAAAATAAAATTATGCGTATTATTTCAATATATTTGTAGTGGGACAAATCAGATGATTTGCCCCAAAATGTCACTGCGTTTAACAAATTTTTCAATCAGAGAGCCTAAAAGAAAAATCCTGTAGCTTGTCAGTGACTGAACAACTGAACAGGAAGCAATGCTATTGTCTCCGTTCAGAAGAATGCAAGCGGATTCCTTGATTTTTCTTGTTTGGTTGTTATCAATCAGTGTTTATACTGCAGAAACGTGCTATAAGGTACTTAGGCAAGGTAGGTATTCGAGAGTCATGCAGACCACTGTTTTCAAACTTAGGAATTCTCACTCTGACAAGTTTATTCATATTGGAAACGGTATGTCTGATTCACAAAAAGTATATGGCTGAGACTACAGTACAAACAAATCATGTGACCCGACAAATAACAGAGAGGAAAATTGCTCTACCCATTCCAAAATCCAGTTTGACAAAATTTTCTTTGTTATTTGAAAGTAAAAAGATTTATAACCATATACCAACTGAACTAAGAACTATAAAAGATCATAGTAAATTCAGAAAACTGGTGAAAGATGATAATAATATTCCCCATAAAGGGTAAGCCGGGATTGGCGCAGTGGAAGAGCGTCCGTCTCACGACCGCAAGGTCGTGGGTTCGATTTCCAGCACGGGCAAGGAACTTTTTTCAATATTTTATTTACGAATTAAATATTGTAAAGTTTCGGAGCATCGGCTGGGGATAGTCCTGCACGATTCGCTGTTGCGTTCCAATTAACAGTGCTGCTCCTAAAGTGGCGCATGGAGTTAGTAACAAAGCCTACACAGAACACGCAGAAAGATATGATGATGTGGTTGTGAGCGTCAGAGAAGAAGTAGGACGGTGTATGTAGGTGGGTGTGGAAAAACTACCAGCTGAGCGTGAGAGCGGGCCAGCTGCTTAAGTAGACCTCGGTCTCGGGGGTTAACGATGATAGTTAGCAGGCCTGCCACTGCGCATATGGTAGTAAGTACATTACTAGCCTACAAAACACAGCTGAAAAACTCTGAAAAGAGAGCTGATGGGCGGTGCCTGAAAAGGATGTTAGCCAGCTCTCTTGAGCGAACCACTTGGGGTTGGCAAAAAGGTCCCATTGGGGACTAGTTGCTGACGTGGAAACGTCCCCCACCAGTACCAGTACCAGTTCCCCATAAAGGGGCACTAGAAACATCAGCAGGAAGGCAGGATTACAACAATCATCCTGTAACACGCATCCCAGATCGTTCTTCAACCTCCCAATGATTCCTACATGCACCAGCATATTTCCGAACACTCAATATATGCCGCAGTGACAAATAACGTCACAGAAGATTCTGGAATGTTCTGGAAACAATCGATGGAACAATTGGAGAGAGAGGTTTTGTTCTAAGAAGCTTCTAGAACAAAAAGAAGGAGACGGAAGATCATTCGAGAACGTTCTCGAACCAAAGCCTGCCAAGTGATCTCATATATAAACGGCCGAACAACTTCAGTCAGTCAGTCAAGCAGCGAGTGTCAGAGAGACAGTTGTATACCGCGTGATATAAATCGTTTTACATAAATAGTAGTTATATACAAGGTGTTTCCTAACTACGGTTCCTAACTGCAGGTGATGATATGTCAGGTCATTTTGGGAAGAAGAGTTCCTTTAACATATGTCCGGAGTTGCTTCGTTTCTGAGATACAGGGCGTTGAAATTGAAAAAAAAAACGGTAATTATTAAATATCATGAATATCCTAGAACCGATTTGGTTGAAATTTGATACTTTCATTTGAACTGATAAGGCGCTTATTTAGCCCTATTAAGATTGCAATTATTGGGGCCAGTGGCGTCTCAGTGGGCACCACACAGTGTTGCCACAAACATATGTTTTTTCGAGCCAACTATACTGTCAAAAACGAGCGAGATCTTGACTCAAAGAGCGAGATTTTGTTGTTGATGAAATGAATGAACGGATTACCTTACATTAACTCACAAAAGATTACTATGTAGGTACATAAAAAATAAATAACGAAATGAAAATTTTAATTCATTTCTTATATATCTTTGGTAGTTTGACAAAGCAATATGCCTCATTATATGATTGAATAGTTATGAAATTTGATTTCTTGTGGAGTTAACAAAGAGAATCATGCAACCGAAGTTATCCGGTCGGATGTTTCGTTTGAAGAATGATGGAAATAAGTAACTAATGCGCTTTTGTTTCAAAAATTCTTCTCGGTGATCTTTCAATAGATGGCGCCGTTGAACAATTATTATGACACTTGTCAATTCTGGAGTTGCCTCTGGTTTTTCGAATTTCGAGTGCAATAAACCCATTCTTCTACATATATTCCGCGTACTTGAAATGCTATTTGCCATTTTATTTCCACTAGAGACACTCGTCACAGCAGCAATAATTGCAGCATCACCATCTAGCGATTTAACGTCTCGATCGATGTGACGTAGAGAAATGTTAGCGTTCGAGTTATTTTTCTTAAATTTTCAATACGTAAAAATGGCCAAGTACGCGCACCATCTACCAGTTTACATCATTGTTTGTTGAAACATTGAATTTATCGCTTTTGTAAAGGCCATCTACGCTAATATAGCTGAACTTTGAAAGATATATTAACTCTGTTATTCTACATTATGTCTAATCTGTGTGGCCTACTAGCTGAGGTGGAAACGAGCGAGATTTGACAAAGAGGAGCGAGAGAGTGAAATGGTGACAAAACGAGCGAGATCTCGCTCAATCGTGCGAGCTGTGGCAACGCTGGCACCACAGCTAACAATATTGTGAAAAAAAAAATACGCCACTGACTTTTTTGATGAATTTCCAATTCTTTTCCAGATTGAGCAACTCGAAATACAACTTTTTGGTTTCTTGCATTTTCTTCATATGCAGCTTCGTTTTCGAGGAAAAAAATCAAAGCCACTGTATTGCATATCATGAACACCTGCATTGGAGAGTTTTTCGTTATTACTGACAAAAATTTAATTGACACTTAATATGCTGATATTTTAGAAAATTTGACAAATAAATGTTCCAAATTTCAACCAAATCGATTCAGGATATTCATGATATTTTATAATTACCGTTTTTTTTTTCCTTTAATTTCAACGCCCTGTATCTCAGAAACGAAGCAATTCCGGACATATGTTCATTGGAACTTTTCTTCTTAAAATGACCTAACGAGTCACCCCCTCCAGTTAGGAATCGTAGTTAGGAAACACCCGGTATAGTGTCGTGTTCGCTTCTGCACCCGAATAACGTATCAATATGTTCAGTTAGCTTCGATTTATCGATATGTCTTTTCTTGATATTGTACTTGTGTTCTTTAGTCCTTACTGAGAGAGGTTTATATAGATAGAACATGGTATTCACTACTGAAAACTGAACATGAAAATGGTGGATTCAAGATCAATTAATGAAAACTTCCTGTAACTCATTTGTAGACTAAAATCACTCATTCATATGCCAACATTAGTATGACACTGAGAAGTGTCAAACTATAAGCAACAACTTCCAAAAAGAGATATTTTGCATTTTTATGTTGAGAACGGAAGCAGATTCGGTCCCGAAACGTCCAAAGATAAGTAAAAATTCGATATTTTTTCAATATATCTATATTTCTTTCCTTCAAACATTTTTCAAACAAATTGTCACCGAAAAGCTACTGGATTTTTCTTTTAGGCTCTCTGATTGAAAAATTTGTTAAACGCAGTGACATTATGGGGCAAATCATCTGATTTGTCCCACTACAAATATATTGAAATAATACGCATAATTTTATTTTATAGAAACGAGGAGAGAAAATCCCAAAAAAATCAAGTAAAATGAACTTTTCTCTAACACTATTTCAGAAATTGAGCACAAGAATAATTTTAACAATGCAGTCGACCAATAAGAAGCTATTTGAGTACTTGTCCGCATACTCGTCGCTGTTGTTATGGTATCGCCCTACATGTATTGAGATATCATCGCGTTTGACGTCTTTATGTTTCGCAATTCGAACATATTGAGCTCTTTCGAACTCTAACTGTTTTTATCGATATCTTCAGTGCAGTAAGTTGAACTACCTATACCTGATTTTACTGAATTTGTATAATAAAATGTGGAGCAGTGATGGAATAGGAATAGAATGCATACCACCACAAATGAGGGAACTTGCGGACAGTGCAATAGGCCAAATATTACCAGATAAATCAAAAGAAATATGAATTGAGTTATAAGCAGTTCATTTGACTGGCGTGAAAAAATATTTTTCTACAAACGCTTAACAAAGTAGCCTTTGACGGTTTCAAATTCCAGCACAAAGTTGAAGTTTTCCCAGAAATGTCATTCTTTGACAGCATTTGCGCTCGTGAGCGGAAATATTGAAAAAACGCTCGCACATCTCTGTAACCTATACTTATCTATTCTTGAAAACCTCCAATTCTTTCATGATGGAAAATAGTGACAGTGAATCATCAAACACACCTCCTTCCTGATGATATAGCAGAAAGCGCAAGAGTTTGAATCTCTTACCGGATAAATCAAGGAAGAAATATGAACTACAATATGATACATTCATAAATTGGTGCCACTCCGAGATGGAGAATTTGTATTCAGAAAACGTTTTACTGGCTTATTTTGGTAAAAAATCAAAGACTTTGAAGTCATCAACTCATTGGTCTATATATTCGATGGTACTTATACATGCTTGAATGTAAAAGATAAGATCGGAATCAATAAGTACCTGAAACTTATCGCATTTCTAAAGAAACAATCTATTGGATATAAAGCGAGAAAAATCCAAAACATTCACCGCTGAAGATATATACCAACAAATTTCTACAAGAAGCTCCCGATGAAGCATATCTGTTGAATACGATGAAGTATACTTTATATTCAAACTCTTTGTTGTCATCAGAAAGACAGTGTACCTTTATTTTATTGCATCAATGAGTAATGTTCAATTTGATTGCAGAGTTTATCGTACTATGGCTCAGAGGTCTGAAGCTCAGGTTGCCACGATGGTGGCCCAGTTTCAATTCTCGTTAGGCCCGACATTTTTTTCTGGCTTGTCAGTTATTTCAATTTTTCTTTTCTTGTTTCCTTTGGACATATGGATAAGAACTTTTTCAACTATTTCAGTTGCTCATACTTTCAAGGTAGTTATTTCCAAAAGCTGCGTTAATAGAAAAAATCTTGTGTGTATTTCGAGCACAAAGTGTTATTGCCGCTCTCCAAAGATTACCACGCTCCGCTCCGCATCGCGCGGTAACTTTCTTTGTCGAGCGGAAATCTATCACTTTGCGCTCTAAATACACAAATAGCTATTTCGATTTGAGTTTGCCGCGTAAAATCATGTACTGATGTGTTTTACGCCAGATGCCTTCCCAGTGAAATGTGCGGATTATGAACCATAACCCCCAGCTGGAAAGACAGAGTCCAACCACCGCTTGAACGGGTTACTTCTCGGGATTGTTCAATAATTGATTTAATGTTATTTAGCATTATAGCGATAATCGATCACTTAGTTAGTGTGTGTGATATTGCTCCGCAACCCTTCCATTGGTGAATAGGGTACTTCGATTGCCGGTACTTGTCCAAGGAAGGTAAAACTGGAATATTGGCGCCGATACCTGGAGTGAAGGAAGCTGCGAGCAATTATACAAGGTTAGTAGTGTGGGAAGTGATGTATATGATTTCGTTTTAATTTGTTCTATTAAATACAGTCCAAAAAACAAAATTCGCTGGTGCAACACATTCAAATCATCGACCATATGGAAAACCTAGTCTATGTTAAGAACAACGATTATCATCAAACACATAATATCAATATTTCGAACTTTCCAAAATTGAGGTCGTTATTGAAAACAGAGTGTGACGGTTATAAGAAAAAAAAAGAGGTTTTGTATGGACAAGTGATAAATTCATCAAAGAAGCTCCTGATGAAATACACTTGAGCACGTAGGTAATATTAATACATTCCCCGACAATGAATTCCAGACAAAAACAATTCAAGTTAATTTTAGTCACCCATAACTTTTTGATTTGTCATTGTCATTGTCTTTTGATTACCAATTTGATTCAAATTATTACTTGGAACATTACATAGCAACAAACTTTTTCTGTTTAGGCGGTACTTTCTCTGCCTATGCAGTAAAATTACACCTTTTTCTTCCTGCTAAGCAGGGTTGGCATGAATCAATTCATATGAATTAAATCAGTGATTTAATTCGTGAATTAATTCCATTGACTTTTTTCGAAAAAGTCATGAATTCATTCAAATTTTGAAAAATGAGACAAATTGCACTATTACCTTTGATAAACTGAAAAATTCGATCGTATTTTGACAAGACTTTGTCATTTCAAGCATGACAGAGATTTTTACTAACAGATATATACAGTATCAAGTATCATCCATAAAGTCCATAACATATGAGAACAGGTTTATTATCACAGCATCGAATTTTTTTTTCTCGGCGATCCATTATGCATATCCGATAACTTGAAAATCGATATTGACACATGTCACGTGATCACTGGTATGGTGATAAATAAAAATAATACTATAAAGCGACGAAAAGTGGGGTTAGATAACAAAATATCCATAAACATTTCTTATTGAGTTGCTATTCCACATTCAGTTTCCAACAATTTTTGGAGGAGAATCGAAAATAGCTATATTTTTTCAAAATTTTGTTACAATTCTCTTTTTTTTTTCGACAGTAGTGATGTTGATGATGTACAAGTATTTAATAGAATTCAATTTCATGCACAGCCATTATTTGAGAAAACTGAAAATAGCTATTTTTTTTTTTAATAACTTCATCTTCCCATCTAACCCCACTTTTTGCCATCGTATAATTTTTTGAATTTACCGCCATACCAGTGATCAAGTGACATGTGTCAAAAATCGACTTTTAAGTAGTCACATGCATAATAGATCCCCGAGAAAAAATGTTTCGATATTCTACTAATAAACTTTTTCTCCATGTGTTACGAACTTTATGGATGATACTGGATCTATATATGTATCTATTATTTTGTATTCTATCATCACTTTTAATTTTGTTTTGAAAAAATGACATGTTATATTATGATATGTTATTCTACAAGATTTCTGAAGGGAAAAAAACATAGTTTTTTGTTTCTTTTTTTCTATTTCGCTTTGAGTAAATGAATATTGTTGTTTTTTTTTCAAATGAATGAATTCAAAAAAGTCTGACTTAATTCAAAAAGTCGGACTTTGATGACTTTTTTATAAAAGTCATGACTTATTCCAACCCTGCTGCTAAGTGTCATTAAAAAGCCACTTTTAATGTCCCTTGGAGAACAAATATAATCAGGTGCTGCAGTACCGCAGTGTGAAGCCTAGAGAAAAATCGTTCGAGACTGAACCAAACCTAATACCCACCCTAAGATTTTCACAACGCTATCGAAAATAACGTCCTGTATGCAAAACTCTGTCATCTGCTTGTTGTTTATGATCCAAGGTGACTGTCCCATTTCTCTCGAGAACTTCAGATACCTACCTCCGATATAAACGGTATCGGCAGAGAAAGTGACATCTAGAGTTGTCTCTGTATCTGGGATGCTGGGTGGAACGGGGAAATGCATCTTGAATGCTTCATCGGTGCAGGTAGCTATTATACCTTTGAAGAACATAAAAAATTTACAATGCCTGTACTTTGTATTCATTTCAAAATCAATATATTTCGATCCGAAGAAGGCCATTATCAAAGGTAATACCATGAGTCTGAGTTGTATTTAGAAATATTATGTTTTTTTCTGTGACGGGAAAAAAGTTTGGCATTTCATCTCTGTTGGCAGGTATAAAATGTCACTTTTTATGAATAACTTTTTTCCCGTGAGAAAAAAGTGAGTACTTTTTTCCCGGATATATATCAGATATATATATATACACTGTTGATGGCTCTTGTTGTGCTATAGTTCCGAAAAATGAGTCAATGATACCGTCTCCGAGAAAGAACATCCACTAAATTCACAATTTTTTGAAATCAAATCACAAAATTAGACTGACAGAAGTGACATCAGATATTTGATTACTTCAAAAGAATGATGAAGATGCCTACAACGCAGGTGTTAAACTGTGTACTGTTAAAATCTTAAAATTTCAGGTCAGTAGGTATTCAAAGCGGTGACCACGATCAAACCCTCTGTGATCGCAGAATTCCCTATATGGATTGTACTATTCTATATCGATTGCAGTATGGCCCATTGATTGCAGTATGCCTCGTGGGGAATCCTGATCTTCCTGTATGTACCTATACACCCTGCTCAGTTGGAATCCAGACCTTCGTGCCCTTTTGATCGCAGTATCCTCCATGGGATACATGTTGGGATATTCTCCCTGTATATGGAGAATCTCCGCACTTAGCGAAAACGACTTTCATCATTGTGTTTGCTTAGTTGAGAAGTTGCGTTAATTACTTGCTAAATAATAAAATTGAACTATGTAATTATGACTAGTAATAATTGTGTGGGAAAAAGCTGCTTGTACAGCCGCCATGCAAACAAACCTTTTGGAAATTGCAAGGTGATTGTGTAAATAAACCTTCGAACAGAGTAGGTGAGACAAATCGTGAAATGAGCCTATGAAAAGTATTTAAAGCCGAGCATTTTCATTTTATTTTCAAATTCGCATTTGATCATGTCGCAACAAGATAATACTGTGAGTAGTACATCAGAGAATTGTGATGTTTTATCAGAGCAATCGTTTGACTTCGTGGACGAGTACCACTGTGTGATTGAAGAAATTTCCTGCCAAGATAAAATAATCCAAGTCGATGAAGTTTTGGAAAATGGTGAAGAATCAGTGGTCAATGTCAGCAGTCCCATTTACGGGAGTCCATATGAAGCTCCTCTAAGTGATTCACCGCTGGAGACTTATCTGACTAGTAACATATGTTATAGTAATAATTATACTAGTTGTAACATTTACTATCATGTGTTTTGTCCAACGGGTGGAAAACACTTTATTGTTTGCCAAAGATGTTATGATGTACAGAAAACTGAATTGATTGTGAAAATGATGCATTATTTTGAAGTTCTCCGTTGTAATAAGCAACATATTCACATGGAAGGCCACATCCATTGTTTTCTTTGTAAAAAGGACTATCAAAATTATTATCCATGTGAATTTAGACATTCAACTCTTTTCCATAATACTTTGGGTGTATGGAAATCTGAAATAATTTAGAAATAAAATTGAATGAATAGTGTGATTTGATTTATTTTCCCGAGTTGATCTCATGAGCATACATGATAGGTATGGAATCATATAATAATAATAATAATAATAATAATAATAATGTTTATTCACGCTATTCCTGATTATGTTTTTACATTTTGTGTTGGCTTATATGCATAAACAAACATTGAGAGACCCACAAAAGCCGAAACTGCGCGTGGGGTTTTCTTTGTCGTAAATGCCATATCTTCAAATGTATTTCATATTTCGTGACAAAGAAATTGTATACAACAGATTATTATAAACTTCATGTGGTGGAAAAGTTGAGGAATATCTTTAACAATGTTAGATTAATAATAATAGTGATAATAATAATGATTATATACCTGATAATAACACCAACAGTAACAATACCTATACCTTTGTAATAATAATGATATAATATTGAAAATCATAATAATAAAACCTGATTTGGTCGACAGAAAATCATTCAACTGATATCTTGTGTAGCACATGAATCAAGTGATTTGAAAGGTATAAAACGATATAAAAACTGATTTGGGTGAAAATCATCTAATTGATATATTTTGTGATCCACGATATTCAATAAGGTGAGTTCTCTTTTTTCATTTGATTATTATTTCCACTGTTGGGAAATTTCTGGTCTAATGTCAGCTAATTCTAGATGGATCTTACAGTAATCAATAAAGAAGCTCTCTTGAACCTGAAGGAGACCATAAAGTTGTCGGACCTTCCAGCTGGCACACCTATTCCAATTCATTCAGTGAGGATCGTCAAGACCCGCTTTGGAAAAGCTGTTCTCGTAGAACTGAGCGAAAAGGTTGTGTTCCTTCCGCAGAGTGACAGAGCTAGTGCGAGGAAAAGAGGCAGAGTTTACACCAGGAAAGTATTCCCTGATATATAGAGGCCAGAAGAACGTGGGTAAACCGAAAGATGCTTACCAATTCGAAATTATCAAAACTGGGAACATGTGAGTGTTGTTGACTCTTTTAATTCAGTAATAGTTTTATATCTTATAAGATAAAAAGGTAAAGGACAATGGATACGATTGTCAAATCCAGTGATGAGATCGTTAAAGTTTGTCATAAAGCGTGTGAAGAATTGTCCCATAGTTCTAGTGTCGCAACAAGAAAAAGATGGACTAAATTAAATGATCTGAACTTAAGGCTATTCAATAAGGCTGTTCGTGATGGTGACTTGAATGTGTCGTCTTTGAGAAAACTTCAAACTAATATTGGACATTTGAAGCGGTTCCGAAAATTGATTAAAGATCAGCCACATGTTGGTGGCAGTCTCGATATCAAGAATAAAATCAAAGATAGAATTAGATGGGAAGAAATCCAATCCGCGTTTTCTAGTCGCATACGATCTGGCATAATCATAAACTTCAAACACATCGATACCAAACAATTTTTAGAAGATGCATTCACTCTTTTTCGAAATCGGATAAAAAGAATGTTGAAAAAGTTTCCTGTTATAAAAGTTAATGTTTGTTTTTGTGGAGAATTCCTTCAAAATAATAAGGATGATGAAGTTATAGTAGATTATAAATATCTGAATACGAAGAATTATACGATTGATAGTGGAGATGATTTGAAACGATGGTATGAAGAAAATATAATAGATAAAATTTTAAATCAGCTGGATGAATTTCAGGAGCGTGATAGTGGATGGACATCACATAAAATAATTAGCTTAGAAGTTAACATAAATAAAGTAGAAATTGGAGGAGGGGGTTCATCTTATATCAGGCTTCCCAAACAAATTGAAAGCAAAAAAGCTTGTATAAATGTTAAAAATACAGACGATGCCTGTTTTGCATGGGCGGTGACCTCATGCTTATATCCTGCTGAATTAAATTTGAATAGAACTTCTTCTTATCCACATTACAGCGAAGTACTTGATTTAACTGGTATTCAATTTCCAATGAAACTGAATCAAATTGCTAAATTCGAAAATCTGAATAATCTTTCAATAAACGTATTCATTTTGGAAATGGATAGGAAAGGACAATTTGTTACTGTACCTGTGAGGCTCACTAAAAATAAGATTCCAGATCGACATATCAATCTTTTGATGATTCAGAACGAGTATCAGGCGAATGAAGGACAATCTGAAAGTATTGATGATTTAGTCAAAGAAACATCATTCCTAAATAGTAACTATAATGATTTAACAAGATTTCATTTTTGTTGGATAAAAAATATGTCACGATTAGTTGCCAAGCAAATAGGAAAACATAAGGGTAAAATGTTCATATGTGATACATGTTTGAATTATTTTAACAATAAAGAGAAATTGGATGCACATACTGTCTTGTGTACACAAGTGAATAAGTGTAAGATATCATTTCCAGAAGAAAAATACATAACATTCAAAAATTTCCACCACAAAGAGAAAATGCCGTTCGTTGTTTATAGTGATTTTGAATCAATGCTCGTGCCATTCGAAGAAGATCGACGAAAAAAGTTATTGAAAACTGCTCGTTATCAAAAACATAAACCTTATAGTGTTGGATACTACGTAAAATGTAATTTTGATGATAATTTATCATTTTTTAAAAGTTATAGAGGCTCCGATTGTACTGAATGGTTTGTGAACGAGCTGAATGAACTAGCGAATTTCATAGAAATGAAAATGCAAATTTACGAACCCATTAGAATGGAAAATCGACCAAAAGAAATATGTCACATTTGTGAGATACCATTTAAAGAATCTGATACTATCGTTCGGGATCATAACCATTTTACAGGAAAATTTCGTGGATTTTCGCATTCAAAATGTAACCTTGGATATAAAAATTCTTTCAGTGTACCTATATTTTTTCACAATTTATCTGGCTATGATAGCCATTTCATTATAAAAGATTTAGCTAAACATTCTCATGTAACACTACTTACCATTAATAAAGAAAAATATATATCAGTTTTACGCAACATAATTATGAATCTAGAATAAAATTCAGATTTGTTGACTCTTATAACTTTATGGGATTCAAGTTAGAAGATTTGGTGAACTTTTTAGATAAGACACAATTGGTCAACATGAGAAAACAATTTATTGCCATCGATGATAACAGATTTGAATTATTATGTAGGAAAGGTGTTTTCTGTTACGACTATATTGATAAATTGGAGAAACTAGATGCAACTTCATTGCCAAGTAAGAAAAAGTTCTATAATAAACTGAATGATGAACATGTCACGGATCTAGAGTATGAACATGCGAAAAAGGTTTGGGAAACTTTTCAGATTAAGACTTTGGGAGATTATTCAGATTTATATTTGAAAACGGATATCATATTATTGGCAGACGTTTCTGCGAATTTCCGAAACATGTGTCATGAGACTTATGATCTAGACCCAGCTCACTATTATACTCTTCCTGGATTTACCTGGGATTGTATGCTGAAATATACAA